ATCCCGCAAAGCGCATTCAAACGCATTCACCAAGTCATATCGTACGCCTACTCCAGACGGGAACACAATGCTGTTTATTCACGAAGGCTATCCGCACGATTGTTTTTAGATGCGCAAGATGATCTAAAGTAGATCGACCTTTGCAAAACCCACACTGACGGCCTATCAGATATTTTTACTTTCCAGCATGTATACCAGTCTTCTGTTTATCATAAGTTTGTATGTTTCTCCAAGGCAGCAAGTTAAAGCGATACGGCGGTAACTAGATGGCACTGTCCGGTCCTTGCCAGACTTCAAGAGTGGGATTATGTAAGCATGTCTCCAAGCCCTGGGGAAGCATGCCCTTTCCCGGAGAGAATTGAAAAAAACTAAAAAAGGTTTCGAGATTCTAGAGACAGGTTCCGAAGCATTTCACAATGGAGTGCATCAGGCCCCGGAGCAGATAGCTTCTTTACATCAAGTGATAGAGAAGGAGGATTTAAAATAGGAATAGTAAAACTTCTGTATTCTCCTTTGATTCTATGTTTCTATCCCAGGCCTCTTTTGATGGGACAAAACTGCTCAAAGAGGTAATGTTTTTGCAGCAGAGCTGTTAAGGGCTAGCTTCCCCAGTTTTGTGTCCGTCACCAAATAAATGTCGGCACAAAACTGTGAACAGCTACCGCCATCTATAAGCGACGGCAGCAACCAGACAACCGGTTTGCCGGTTGTAGTCGCTTAAAGATGGCGACAACCTTTCCAGCTTTTCCACTCTGGTGAAAACCAGTGGAAAGGCTGAATTTCTCTAGGCATCGTCCTAGAAGTCGTCCTTGAGGTCTTCCTAGAAGTGACCCTTGAGGTCGTCCTAGAAGTGACCCTTGAAATCGTCCTAGAAGTGACCCTTGAAGTCGTCCTAGAAGTGACCCTTGAAATCGTCCTAGAAGTGACCCTTGAAGTCGTCCTTGAGGTCGTCCTAGGCGTCGTCCTTGAGGTCGTCCTAGGCGTCGTCCTCTAGGCGTCGTCCTTTAGGAGTCGTCCTTTAGGAGTCGTCCTTTAGGGGTCGTCCTTTAGGGGTCGTCCTTTAGGCGTCGTCCTCGAGGTCATCTTAAAATTCGTCCTTGAGGTCATCTTAGAAGTCATCTTTAAAGTCGTCCTAGACGTCGTCCTAAAGGTTGTCCTAGACATTCTCCTCTAGGCGGCGTCCTTGAGGTCGTCCCACCACAGTACAGCTTCGCTGGTCTTCCTTCTTCACCAGAGTGGAAAGGCTGAAAGTATTTTTCTTTTAGCCTGCTTTCTAGTCCAGAAGCATTAGCTCTCCGTTTTGTTTTTTTTTAATTCCACCAGGTTTCTCGTGCTGAAATTTGCCCCAAGCCCTATTCTGTTTTTTGAGTGTTGAGGCACACTCTTTATTCCACCACAGTTTGCACTTTCGTGGCAGAACTCCAGAGTTCTAAGGAATCGAATGAAGAGCAGAGTTTATAAACTGTCCAGTTACATACAATGTAACTTCATCTGAGGTCATAGAGCTAAGCAAAGCATTCAGTGTGGGATTCAATTTAAAAAGGGACCAATCTGCCTGATCTTTTTTCCCCCAGGCCATTCACCTTAAAAGAGTGAGGAGGAAGACTGTGTCATGTACCGTGTGCGAACCACCTAGAATGTAAGAGATGAGATTGAGACAAATGTTTGTTTCCCGCTCTTTTAATATGGCGTCTTCCCCGACTCAGAGTTGCCAGACTTCTTTCAGTCCCTGGACATGACACCTTCCCTTCTAAGACCTATTGTCTATATCGTGCCGGTGCTCTAGAGATCCTTCCGCTTCTGGTCACCAGGCCGTTATTGCTGCCAGATGAAGCTGGTGGTCCCTTGTCTGCGACCACCCTGGGTGTGGTGTTGTGTCTCGCAATCTGCAGATGTCTGGTAGTGCGACGTAATGCACCATGTTCAGTCTGCACCAGGTATGACCGTGGCTCGCGGGTCTGCTGTAGCACCACTCATCAACTACTTCTCCAAGTTCTTTGAGCTTGAGCAGCTCCACAGGACGACGTCAAAGGGCATCATCGAGGCACTGAGTGAAATATTCGCACGATTTGGAGTCCCGGAGGTCATTCATTCCGACGGTGGATCCCAGTTAGCATCAAGCGAATTCAAGTGCTTTACACACAAGTGGGGAGCGCGACACGTAACGTCAAGTCCCTACTATCCCACCGCTGCCACCATGTCGCGTACCGCGTGCGTACCTCCTAGAACATTAGAGACGAGATCGAGACAAACGTTAGTCTCCCACTCTTTTAATAAGGCATCTCCCCCCGACCCAGAGTTGCCAGACTCCTTTCAGTCTCTGGACACGACAGACAGTACTCTCTAAAACAATGGGGAAGTGATCGCTCCCAAATGAATTATTAAAAACCTTCTATGAAAAGCATGGAAGTAATAAAGGTGAAGCAATAGGAAGGTAAAAAGATGTAAACGAGTTGTGAGCAGACTTAAAAAAAGTAGGTTCTCTCCAATTAAACTACACAAGTTAGATAAAAAAAAACAAAAAAACTCAGTAGCCCTTGAGAATTGAGGCGAGTACTGCCGCACATGGGCTGATGTGCATTAAAATCTCCTAAAATTAAAAAGGGCCGAGAGAGCCGCCCCACAGGCCCTAAGAGTTTGTGAAGTTGCAATGGAACGTTTGATGGTAAATAGATAGAAAACAATTGTTATGAGGCGCTCTAAAAGTAGGCGTACTGCTACAGCCTCAAGCGGTTTGCAAAGAGGAACCTCAGTGCAGGCAACCCCACTTCGCACGACCGCTGCTACACCACCCGAACTGGAATTAAGCCAATCTTTGCGGAGAACTTGATGACGTCGCAAAACCTGCATATGATGTGTTTGAAGATGAGTTTCTCGTAAAGAGAGGCAATAGGCCGAAGCTCATCCATAAAATAACTAACGCTATCGACAGTGGGTAAGAGACCTCAACAGTTCCACTGCTGAAATCACAAGTTTTTCATTATTGTAAAAATGTATTTGAATAAATAAATAAAAATGGGAGAAAGGACAAGAAAATTAAAGCTGACGATTAAAGATGTAAAGGGATCTAGACTATTTGGGACAAGTCACAGGTTTCTTCCCTTTATTTTTGGTTTGGTACTTGCCACTCCATTTCGTCTTGGCCAGATGCAGGAGAAGACTGATCAGTAGCCTCGTCCATCATCTCTACATCTTTAGACGAGACTCCTCCTAGAGGTTTAGGTAGGTCCGCAGCACGGGGTGAAATACCCTGGCCATGACCGCCTCCCACCGAGGAGGCAGGGGCAATAATGGGTGTGGTATTGCCCTTGTCCTACCAGTCCTGTCCTTTAGATCCCGAAAGAACAGCCCAACGGTGCTCTATGGCTGAGGAGGCCCTCTCCAGTGAGTTTGAGCGAGCGATGAGCGATGATTCGACGCTAGCATTCCCCCTGGCTCTGACAGTCAGCGTCCCCTCCTCCTAGTGGACGTCCGGCTGCCGAGAGCCCTGGCCCTGAACTACTGCGACGACGGGTAGCGGCGTGAGCTTGGCCCATTGGCGATGACTCCGCTCGCCATTACCCCTTTGGCTCTCAGGTCGGCGGGCCCTGCGGGCACTCAGTGTCCGCGGCTCGCTTGACCGCAGTGTCTTGCTGGGGACCCCTGGTACTCAATAAACGCTGTTGGACACCGGGATCATTGTTGTTAGCATGGCGTTGGACGAACCTGGCGCGGCGACCACCCTCGCTGGTAGCCATCAACTGTGCGGTGGGACGGCATCGGATTCCCCTTTGAGCACCGATCGCCGGACATAAAAGGGACGTAATCCCTACTCCCCACAACCATGACCATACCTCTGGCACCGAAAGCAGTGCAGCGGATTTGGGACGTAAGGCCGCACCTTGCAGTTAATATAGCTCGTCTTAATAGAAGGAGGCGAAGTATGCCTCTTGAAAGTCAGAACGTTGTTTGGTGGGTTGTTCCTCACCACCTCGTCAAATTGTGATGTGCTTTGCAGCTACTACTCCTTGGGATTGGAGACCCTCTACAATTTCTTCCTCGGAAGTACCTAATAAATCGTCTTCAGAGATCACGCTGCGGATGGTGTTCATTGTTCAATGGGCAGACACAGTCATCTTGAGGTTTTGGACCATTTGAAGAGTCACCAAAGCCGTAGCTTGGTAGGTCTTGTAAACCTCCACAAGAATGTTGCCCGAGAAGAGCTTTTTAGCTCCATACTTTGCTCCTACCGTGCGTTGAAACACTTTGGCAACAAGGAACGGAGACAGTTTTGATAGTGGTTTTGTCGACGTTTGTCAGGAGGGAGAACAAAAAATCTTGTAAAATGGTTGTTTACATTGTCTGTGCTGAGAAATGTTGAAAGTGCTTTGGTGTGGGTCCTTTTCAGGGTCCAATCAGAAGGTGTTTTAGTTTTGGAACCCACAACAAATGGGAGAATTTCGGCGGCCTGGGTGCGCTGCCCACCACAGAGCCCAGCAAGAGGGTAGGGGGACGCAACAATAACAAAAAGGGCTTTGCTAACGACATTACACTATCAGTGCTTCCCAGGAACTATAACTCGATGTGGTTCTAGACAAGGTGTCTGTCGCCACCCAAGGTTAGCCGTTGCCACCTAAGGTGAAAAAGGAAGGAAGAGATTGTAGAAGAGAGAAAGAGGCAAGAGGAAAAGTGCAAGAAAAAAGGAGAGGGTAGAAGAGGCGACTGACTGAATCATCGGTCCAGGTTGGGCCAAGCAGGGACACCCAGCTAAGAGAAGTGGGGTCCAAAGTAGTGTATTGCCTCATCCGGAAGGCCCCAAAGGGTTCAAACCTACCCCGGCCTTGACTCAACCACCAGGGTGCCTTCTTCCCCAAAAACGAGAAAGCCACACACAGCCTGGCGTGGGTGGGCGAACCCGCATTGAATGGAATCAGGGTCCGTGGCGACGCCACTCACCGAACACCTGCTTTTACAGGTGCCTCCTGCAGTGCCGACAAGACTGATGAATTCCGGAAACTAACCTGGCAAAATGTGCTCGAGTTCTGCGATCCCATGAGATTGCATCTTCAGGATGGCTTCTTTTAGGCTCAACTGCAAATCTTCAAACTCCTTCCGGTAATGGTTATACGCTGCTGCCTGCTGTTGAGTTATATTTTCCAGGTGGGTTTTCTTTGCCAGTAGGTCTTTCTGGAAATGAAACGTCAGGTGATTTTGAGAGATGCAAGCAGACACTTCTCTTATACTCCGTCCACCTCACAATGAACTGAAGAGGAGGCGACGAGCCACCGAAGCCAATCCAATGCGGTGCGTGTGTCACATGACCTCCAGCGACACGAGGGGCTTGTGGTTACGTTGTATTTTCACGACACTGGATTGGCTGGGACGGCTCGCATCGTCCGCTGTGGTTCATCATAAAAGTGAAACAAAAGATAGAAGAGTTCCAAGAATGCATGCGTTTCCACTGAGCTGTTAATTTGCATACACATTTATGTGGGACAGGGTGACCCAAGCGCGACACTGTCAACACAAACCAGCAATCTGCAGTTTATCATACACTTCAAAAACTCAAAATAAAACAAAAATACGTACAAAAAAAAATTTTGAAGCACGGAAAAGTTTGTTAAAATTTGTGTCCTCCTTCCCCAATTTGAGCGCCTCCTTGCTTCTTTTTTAGACTAAGTAATTGCCACCTGCAAGCTGCATGTCTGCAACAGAGCCATGTATAGCGCCATCCATCAATAGGGAGTATTCACTGGCGGCCATATCCGTGTGCGCTGCCACTGAGCGCGTGCTGACGGCGAGCTTCCGCAGTCCTTTTGGAGCGTGCATTTAGCACCATCTAGGTTGCCGGTCTTAGCAGGCTATCAATGTGAGCTCGTTCTGTACATGCGCTCTAAGCATCGCCCTCAAATATGGCGTCCAGTGAATACCTCCTATACGTGCGCCAAACGCGTTTCGCTACTAGACTCGTCTGCGTCGCCGTCTCAATTGAATTTCAATTGACAATTTTTGTAGTGTCCTGTTTGGACAGGTTCGCTCAAATGGGGCTGTTCGCGTCATTCGCTCATGTGATACGGACCAACGTGACGGCGCAAGCTCCTGCCAGCGCTGCCAGCAACGCTAAGTTCTTGCCAATGGTCTACGAAAAGTTATGACTTGGAAGAACGCAGGCTCCTACCTCCAACACCTGAATTTTGTCCATGAACTTGGCAAGCTCCAGCGACGAGTTGAATCGGGGGTTTCTTAGCCGGTTTCGGGCGTTGTCGATCTCCAGGTCGAGACGGACGGCCGTCTCTTTCAAAGCGACGAAGCACGACTCGGCTTCCATTGCCGCTGCCAAGTGAGAGCTTGGACGCTGAATAAGACGCGAATGCAGGTAACAGGAACGCAGGGATAAGTACCGTTCAAATGGAAGCTGTCAGCATCACAGTTTATCTCAACGTCTCAACTGTGGAACAAAACCACAAAGCCAACCAATCAAGCAACAGCGCCAAAAACTTGAATGAATATCACTGTTACCGGACTGCAAGTCTACACAAGCTTTGCATTGAGTTGAGCTCAAACATTGATTGATATGTTTCAAACATTCGAAAGCAATAAAACACAAAAATAAATTAGTATGGGTATAAAAGTTACTTCTCTTGGTTGACTTTTTTTATCGTTTATTTGAAGTAGTAGTTTGATTACACCTATTCTGAGCAGGCAACACTGAGGTGTGCTCGACCGAAACCGAAACAACTGTTCCGTATAAACCAAATTCACGTAAAAAAAAAAAAAAAAAAAAAAAAAAAAACATAACAATGTAAACAAGGAGAATAGGATTCCATAAGCGTTTTGGTAGCTCTTGCCCTACGTAAAATACATTCTCATCTGATCAAGAGCAAATTGAGGAAAATATAGGTCACATAGGAGTGCTTTATAAGGTATTCAAACAGAAATATATAAGGTGGTCCAAGTCACCAGGCTCGATCTAAAATGGACCGTAAAAATCGACGCCTGCACGTAGCGATCTAAACTTTTCGTCAAAGGTGTATTTCACAAGCCGGTTTTTTCTTGTAAAATTACAACGCGTAGTTCTCTTTCTGTAAAAAATAAGGCCAAGAAACTTGCCAGGGTCTACGGAGCGACGCAGACGACAGGGGTTCAGTAGCGCATGGCCTCCGAGATCCCGAAGCGCGCGCGCGAACGCTCCGTTCGCGCGCTTCGGGATCTCGGAGGCTATGAGTAGCGGGGTGCGTTTGGCGTTCGTATGGATAGATGGCACTACCTCCTTATCGCGACCAGAGATCGCGACGGCTCGCAACCACCGTGGATTTTTAAACGCATATAATCTTTTTGAAATGTACCTTCGGTTAAAAAAATATATGCGGACAATTTTGCTGCCAACGGATTTCGTCCGCGTGTCGTCCGCTTTCTTTCGCTGGTCGGCTGCACCTTCGGACGCTGCTCCCGACGCCAATAGACCTGGCGGCCATAGCTGTGTGCGCGACTGCTGAGCGCGTGCTGACGGCGAGCTTCCACAGTTCTTTTGCAACGTGCATTCCGCACAATCAAGATTGCTCTAAACATCGCCCTCATATATGGCGTTCAGTGAATACTTCCTATTGCTATATTACCCAAGCATCAAGGAGAATGCAGGGATTGTTCCACGCGCCGCACGCAACGCGTACGGCAGCCTTGCGTTGCAAGGGGATGCAGGGGTGTTCCACGCGCCGCACGTGCTGGACTCAGCAGAGGCAAAGAGGTAGAGGGTCCCTCTACCTCGTTGAGCAGAAGTAACCTTTCCAAAGCAAATACCTAAAAACAAATGGTATCTTGTAAGCGCGTTCGTCAACGCTTTATTTTGGTTATTTACCTCGAACCTTTTATACGAGGAAGGAGTGCGCGTGTGGCGCGTGGAACACCAATCCCTGCATTCTCCTTGATGCTTGGGTAATATAGCAAACATACAGTGTGTCACAAAAGAAAATTTACACGGTCTTCTTTACCGCAAAAATAAACTAGCCATCGCCGAATGCTCAGTCTCCGCCCAAAGGCAGAGCTAGATGTCACAACCAGATGCCAAAGTTTCAGCCCGATCGATAAAAAGGGCAACTCCGCTTCATTTTTGGTTTTGAAAAAACAATGCAGTCCTCTTTAGTATCACCTAGGAAGACCAGACGTCAAATATTACGACGCAGTTCTGTCTCAATGTTTCTTAAACGGCCGGCCAACTTTGCAACTCGCCAAGTTACCGAAATCGGCTGACTCGAGCGGGCGAAATCAGGCGCAACCAACAGCGCAGTCAAGGCTACGGCATGGGCGGAGCCAACATCGCCTTTTGCTTGTTTTTACTTCTCCGGGCGAGCGTAGCGCATGACGTCAGCAACGCTTCCTCCCGGCGCTCAGCGGTGTCCACATGATTGGCGTTAACGCGCCTGCGCAGCGCGCTTCATGGGAGCCGTCCGGCCGCCCGCCGTGGTCCCGCCGTTACCGCCGTCTTCCGCGTCACAACCGCCGTCGTCGTCTTACTTTTTGTGATTATTGACTCTCTGAGTTGTCCACACTACGGACACCACGTGCGCAGAATTATGCCGCAGTTGCGCAGACTTCTTCGAATGTCGAAGACAGCAAACCGTGGCGAAGAGTGCGGGGCAGACGACGCTCGCGCCTGGCACACGCCCGCCCCAATCCCGCCCGTCGTTGGGCCGAGGATCACGTGACATCTCGTATCACGTGATGGCCATGTTCTTGGCGGCCCGAGGCCAATGTTGCTGGACGGAGCCGAAGTTTCGGTTTCGATTTCCGCGCGTGTTTAAAACTAGATTTAAAGATATATATCCCATTTTTCGCGAAGCAAACGACGTAGTGTCTTTTACTAGGGCTTTTTAACACGAAATCACTCATTATCTCGAAATCTTTGGAATTGAGTGGAGTTGCCCTTTAATCAAAAGTTATAAGTGATTTACTGAAAATTCCAATGGGAAATGGAGCGCGCTATTTTTACCCGTTTTCGGTTTCTGGTGCCATAGAGCCCCATGTGTCTGAAAACTCCGTCGGCCACCATGTTCCCATTGAAATTTTCAGAAAATCACTTATAACTTTTGATTAAGTTATCGGATCGGGCTGAAGCTTTGGCATCAGGTTGTGACCTCTAGTGCTACCTTTTGCCGGAGGATGAGCGTTCGGCGATGCCTAGTTTATTTTTGCGGTAAAAAAGACCGTGTAAATTTTCTTTTGTGACACCCTGTACTTGGTTAGAAATTCAATTACTGTAATTTAATTACTTTTCTTGGTAATTTGTAATTAGATACTTTTGGCTGAAAGGAATTGTAATGGTAATTTAATTACTTTCTAGCGTCAGTAATTGCGAAATTTCAGGCACAATTACAATTACTTTTGCAAATCTTTGCGGCGCCGACGGAACCTAGCTCTATGAAAGCCTCAGCGCTCGCACACGCTGCCTAGCTTTCGGTAAAACACTCACACACATACACAAACTCACGCACGCACAACATAACGAACATAACTATAGCGTCGAATTGTTGGTTGTTTTGTTGCTTACACTACGTGCTGAGAGACAATCCTCTTTGGAGCCTATCTCAACGGCGCCGTGTAGCGCCGTCTGCAGTGCGAGAAGAAAACAATAGCGTAAACATGCCCACATATTTAAAGAAAAAAAAAATTGAGCTTCTGCTTTCAGCCGAGGTTGGGAATTTTAATTGTCTATCAAGTTATTTTTCTTTTTTTTTTTTATGTCCCTCTTTCAGTACTGTAGTATTGTATTATTTTCAAGTTCATTTTGTGTTGGTTTTACTTAGGATATTATTTGTATAAGCACTTTGGAGACTGACCTCGCACCTGAGAGTTTTGTCACCAATTATTCGGGAGCCCCCATTCGGTATTTATATATTTCTGAGCCATTATAATTTCAACTCGATGTAAATAATTTACAATACCATGATGTTGGTATGTGAATGTGGTCGTATTAGCTCATGGGGTTTTACTTGTATATCAACACGTGTAAAATATTTGATATTCTAATATGTGATATTAGACATGATATGTCTAATTGTCACATTTTTATTTGCCTGGCTAACAAAGGTCTGTCAAACCAATTTTTTTTCTTTAGCGATCTGGCGTCTTCCAGCATGTGAACTAATTTATTATTATTTATTAAAATATAAGAACAGACTACTTCATTTTCCCATACTGTCGAGCTCTCATGAATTAAAAAAAAATCATATAAAGAAAGTACAATACGTGAATATTGGAGTAAGAAATGATAAAATACTTTGCATTTTATACAACTCATTTAAAGTTATATGGCCCAAGTCGGGTCGCTCTCAGAAATAATTGTAAAGTAATTGCATTACTTTTTAAAAGTAATTTGTAAGTGTAATTAATTACTTTCACATAGTAGTAATTGTAAACTACTTTTGAAGCAAAGTAATGGTAATTAAATTACATTTTGAAAGTAATTTACCCTTGTATAATAGCAAATGATCTATACGAACGCCAAACACACTCCACTACTGAACCCGTCGTTTGCGTCGCTCATCAACGTAGACCCTGGCAAGCTTCTTGGCCTTATATTTTACAGAAAGAGAACTACGCTTTGTGATTTTACAAGAAAAAAAACCGACCTGTGATATACACCTTTGACGAAAAGTTTAGATTGCTACGTGCAGGCGCCGATTTTTACGGTCCATTTTAGATCAAGCCTGGTGAATTGGACCACCCTATATTATGCTTGCAAAATATTTGGTTTTCAGCCAAAAAGCGCTGAAAAGCCACCTTCACTTCTCATTCTTTTTTATCTTAGTGCACACGGCCTAAATTAGTAGTAACTTAGTAGGCTACCGACAAAGAAAACGGCACATCAGGTGACATTAAAATGACTTTATTGAACACCCAGAACCCAGTGACTAAAAACCACATTTACTATAACAAAAACAGGTCGACACAACAGGCTTCAACGATGGTAAATATATTTAAGTAACAAAAAAACATGAATAGGGTCCTCTCTGGAATGCAAAATAGTTCACGGCTTAGAACGTTTCAAAGGTTGCTTCAAGAGGTAGCAATTACGTAACTTCTGTTTGAACAAACTCTTTGTAAGAAAAAACTCTCGAATAGGCAATAAAATAAACCTGCTTTGCTCCTAGAACACTGGGACTAGCATGTACTAAATAATTACTTTGCTTTTACCCACAACGAAGTGTGAAAACAGAACAAAATACCCTGTGTGTAACGAAACGGCCTACTACAACACATAGCATATAACTTCAACTGAGAAATCTCCTTTGCCCTACAACAGACTTCTTAATTGGGTTGAAACAAAATGTTTACTAACCGGTCGTTTCTACCTAATCATGGGTTAGCAGGCCTCTGGAAGCGACATAACGCCATGAGGTGAAGCCAGAAGTGTGGCCAGAAGTGTGGCCAAAGGCGATGACCAAAACCAAAAGACGCTACTGGACGAAAAGGAGAGCTGACCAAAACAGCTGTAAGTCAGCCCTCCTCCTCGTCCAATAGCGTCTCTTGGCTCTGGTCATCGTTGGGGGGCGTGCTCCTCCACACTTCTGGCTTCACCTCTGGTGGCGTCATGTCGCCTCCAGAAGCTTCCTACCTCCATGTACCTAGTAAACACCTGTGGGGCACTTACAATCACCGTGCTTCAATTGGTATCATGCAACATGAGAATGTCAGTCCAGACTAATTGGTCTAACAGCCCGATACTTAAGAAGTGTAGGCTACCTCAACTTTGTACCGACCACACATAACTACAATGTAGCTGAGGCATACATTACTGCGTTACTATAAGCCATATCACCACCTTGGTTACTGGAGTGTCGGATGTTGTACACAAGGTCTCTTTGTGGTTTAACCAGTAGATCACAAGGATAAGTGATTTCTCAACTGTTTTTCAACATGGAACAGGGGTTTTCAATGAGCAAAAAGTGAGGGAGAAGCAAGCATAACTGAAACTTGCATGACACTGGAAAAACTCCCTAACTGCTTTGTACTCTCAAATTACTTTGTTTTCAAAGCTAGAACATCCTTCGTACTACTGAAGGTGAACCATTTCATAAATGCGACCGCCAAAACCAACGCGGCAGAATCAACCGATAAAAGTTTATATTGGACCTATTTTGGTCACAAGGGTGATAACAGGCGCTTCAAGTGCATTGCATATATTACGGTATAGCCATTTCATATGCACTATGTGCAAGTTCATATACCACTCCAACAAAAATAGTTATTGCCCTAAATTTGCTATAAAATCTGGGCTTCTTTGACTCATTTGCTTTGGCATTGAAAGGCAGCATTGTAATGTTACCCAAACCAACATGTTTGACAAACATTAAGACAAGATCAAAGGGAACAGTGAATTAAGCAACCATTCTCCAGTTGACCACTCAAGTAATACTGCAGCTCAGAATGACTTTCTGCAGACCAGATGCCAGTCGTTGTGACTAGGTGGTGGTAGTGCCATCCCCTGCAACTTCCAGAACTGAAAATCCTGAAGAAAGAGCAAAGAGGATGTACTACTCAGTTATTACCAAAATGTTCAATGCATTATGGGTGGCAAGAGTGGTGCACTTTGTGTTACAACTTGTGCAATCATGATAAGGACAAGCACTGGTATTTGTGAGTGCTACTATATGTATGTGGTGGGTCATTTTCAGCTACAAACAATACACTTAATGGCATAAAAAAAAATTGAAATTTGCACAAACAAACACGGAGCTTGTGCTTCTCAGTACAAAGCAAGGAACCCTTTCCTGAGGGTACCATATGGGGTGTTTTAAGGAACGCCTGCCAAATAGCTTCTGCAATAACTAAACATCACACACAAAAAAGATTGACGTCATCGCAACGATTTCAGAAATATTAGGAATGTCTGTGATGATCAAGTAACTAGTAATTATTCTTCAGTAATTAACTTTTTATTAGTTACTAAATTTAAAGGTGTGGTTTCAGTTACAAAACTGCATGACATCGTCAAAAATCCCTAGATCAGCCCACATTAAACAGATACGAGACACGTACGGTATTTTATGGCGTTCCTAAGAAAAAACGCAAGATTCTAAAGCATTTTTTAAGTTTCAGCTTTTATCAGCGCATCTTTGTGCCAGCAGTCTCGCTCCCATGGCCAAAGTATGCAACTAACATGCACCATGCACTCTTTGCACGATGGAGGTGAACCAATTCGGTGAACCCGAGAATCAAAGCTTATTTTTGTAATCTCATTCATCAGCATAGTATTTCATCTTGCCAGTAAGTGCCACAATCACTTCTTTTCTACGAGGGAGGCAAGGTGGTAGTTGCACTTTGGCTTCAGCAAGCGGGACCGCTGGTGCGGAGATGTGTTCTGATAAAAAGCCTCAACTTAAAAACACGCCCAAATTTATTGTTTTCTAGAATGCCAATAAATGATCCAAATGACTTATATGGGCATGAAGAGGGTTGATTTAGTGGCTTACGACGATGCCCAGAAAGTTTATAATTTATACCATGTTTTTCAATTTACGAATTAACTATAAATAGGCCCTTTGGCAGAAACCAACACAGAAGATTTCGCCCTAGTTTTATGAAATGGCTCGTATATGCAACTCTGCAGCCAAAGAACAGAAGAATTAAACTGTGTCTTGACACCATAATGATTTACGCGAAAAAATAAGATATTTTTGTGATGTACCAGTGTCTTCACACTATATCGGGTGTTTCTTTTTAAGCTCAACAGATATGTTTAAAAAGAGCCCCGAAAGCTACACTTACGCGGTTTGTGCAGGTGAGTTATGCAGCGAGGAGGACATCATATGGGGGGCTAATCGTGACAATCAGTCGGCTAGTTAAGTATAATTTTTTCAATAAATTTTCAATTAGTGAAAATAGACATATGGTTCCAATTCGAAACTTGCTTAGAGTCATCGGAAAACACTAAATAAACTCTATTTAAAAAAAATATATGGCAGGGGCAGCATTTTTTGCTGCCCCTGCCATGCTGTGCTTTGAACTCTCAAGCTTAAGGCACACGTCACATGAACCAGAGCATAAAGATCGAGCTTTCAAGCAATTTCTATTTGTACGAGGTTGTATTTACTGCAGTTATACATAATAATGACACACTAATGACATGAGGCAGGGGTCAGTAACCAGTGGCCCACGCGCCCGATCTGGCCCACTATGCAATAATAGGTATACGGCCCCTAGACACCACCAGAACTGCCCCCCCCCCCCCCCCCCCCCCCACACTTTACACACACTCCAGGTTGGAAGGTATGTTTGGTTGTAAACCCGGCCTCCCCGAATTAAAATTTTAAAATCTACGAAATCACACAGCGACCTCGATCGAAGTATTTTCTACAGCATGTATATCTGCAAACATACTTTTTCGAGATGAAGACCATGAAGTCAAATGTGGGTCCTGCGAATGACCAATGAGCACCTCTAAAGAAGTCTTACAAGCCCTAAGAGTTTTAACGGGATGTTTGCATCTTGGCAAGCAAGCAAGTATTGAGCACCCAAAATCTTCCTGAAAAGGTGGCTCGAGAAATCTTGCATTACGTGAAGCCTTAATCAATAGAACATATTTGTAGTGCCCTTCGCGGATAGCAGTTTGAGTATCCGTTTCCGATCCGCATCCGCAGACTTTGTATCCGCATCCGAACCGCATCCGCAAACTTTTTACATTATTTTATCCGTATCCGATCCGCATACTCTGTATCCGTATCCGAACTGCATCCGCAAAATGTGGAACCGTGTCAATGTTCTTGCTAACCACCAGAGGTTACGATTACATTTAGACTAGCAAAATCAGCGGAAATCACCCCGACCACGTTCTTCCCCGCCGCACGCGAAATCGGAAGTCTGAATGCCTAAAAAAAAGGTCATAAAAAAATTAAAAAAAAAGTTCTGAAAGAGAGGAGGAGAAGCAGCGGTAGGAAGACAAGACAAAATCCTTTCTGTGATGTTACCGAGCGTATGCGGCCGCCTCGAGTCTCACGGTGTTTCGCGTCAGCCAGCGGGCAGATGCACCGCTAAGTCAGAGTTTAAGGCCTGATTGGATCGACTAATAAGTTGTTCGAGAAAGATTGCGGCCTGCAGGCGCCCAAATATATATATTAAAAGAAAACTTTTTTTTCTTCTTTTTTTTTTGCTTGGGGCAGCTACGGAAGTTGCGCGCAGCAGCCGCTGGCATTGCTGGCGCCCTGGCGTCGTAACCGGACGAATGTGAACTACCAGACTTTCTTGGCTAGAACTCTAAGCATAAAAAAAAAAGAAACAGGCAATTTACGGGCTGCCTACGTGCGTGCGCCGCCGATTCCGAAACTTTGCAAATCGTGGCGCCACAGGGTCGCGCTCGCTGTTGAAGCACTTCTTTTGCTTTTGGTATCATGACCACACTCTGCGGAGAGGGGGAAGTTTCTTCTACTTTCTTGTGACTTGTTCGTTTGAGGTTTTCTTTGCCCGAGAAAGTTTTCCGCTCTTTCCCTGCCAAAGAACTAGCTTTCTCGGGACAATTGATGCCCTGCATTCTTTACTTTTACTTTTTCTATAGTTAGCATTTTTGACGGGATGAAATGCACTAACTGAAGCGATCTTCAGTAAGAATCATATCTTTCTTAGGATCCCTATCGTTTCTTTGAAACATGTTTTGTGGAAATATGTTTCATGGACAACTTTTCACGGACATACATTTCATGGAGACACGGTTCGTCGACGCTGTACGTTTTGTGGGCACCTGCCCCTGCGACGTTTTGTCGACAACGTATTTCTTCACTAAGCCGCTAAAAGCTAGCGCGCTATTCACTAAGGCGTGCTTAACCAAACCATGTCCCCCTCCCCCCTGTAATCCAGGTGAGACGCAAAAAGTTTGTTACGAAAATAGCAGGGTTGTGTGCGACGAAACGTCTCAGGTTTTTCGATGAAACGAACGCGGGAAGCCTTTCGGTCAAACGTCGCATGTCGACCAAACGATCTTGAAACGTCAGTCGACGGACTGAATGCCACCAGGCAAAAATTTAGATCCGGATCCGCGGATATCCGCATCCACAGCCCCTGACATCCGCATCCAATCCGCAATCCGCCAAAATTTGTCTAATTTTTATCCGCATCCACCAGTCTACTGTGGATATCTGCGGATATCCGCAGATAATCTGCAGATATGCAGGGCTCTACATATTTGCCTATCACGCTGTGTGTGTGGACAGTTTTTATTTTTAATTTTTAAGGGCGGACCCCCCCGCCCCCCCCCCCCAACCTCTGTTTCTCCCTCCAGCGCGCTCAGTCTCCGCCTTGTGAAGATTTGGCGTGTCGCAGCAAACGGCGGCCAACCCCTGACATAAAGGCAGAGGTTTGCAGCATACCAGACACATTCTTTGATTCTGTCATTTTAGAACCTTGTTCCAATCTACACACTTCAAACAAAGAGTCCTAAAACCACGAATTAGTAGCGCGTGCATCCAGCTTGCTCAGAAAGATTCCAGTTTCCTAGCCGTGTCCCGCAAGCGAACCGCGGCCCGGAGCCGAGGCACTTCAAACCCTGCTGCACACGGAGTACGTACTCTCACACTGTCAAGTGGTGCTGTGATGTCACGCCACAACTTACACAAAACATACTCCTGATCTTGCCCCGCCAATACTGGCAGTCGCCGTAAAAAGAAAGATGCCCGCCCACTTTTTTTTTTTTGTGTGCAAAGCAGTCAAAAGGAGGAAAAACAAAGGAGTAGAGCATATGAGTAAGACAGTACCGAAACTGGGTGGCACGAAAATCCAAAATTTTCCTGACCGGGGCCCCTTTCAGAAGCAAAGTGTTTGTCCAGTCTCACCACTGCGAAAAACTGAATTTTCCTCGGCGCAAATTTCTGCAAATCAGGCCAAAAGCCGAAAATTTAGATTTATTCGTGGATTCTAATTTTCGTGTGTCGAAGCAGTCGAAAGGTGTAAAATAAGCTTCTTGAGGTGGCCGTGAATTCCGGAATGTTGCACTATTTTCTTTCAAATACTTTCTTTACCTACGTTATTAATAGAATGTATGTATAATGATTACGTGAGAACCCTGTGTGCATGTTTTGTTCGTTGCTAGACAGTTGCTAGAAGAAATGCTTCTTCTCAATGCAGCTTCTGAAGAGTTGACATTTTGCCCGAAATGTTTGCAAGACCACTAATTATCCACGGGACCTATTTTTTGAGAATAATACGCAAAATTTATTTCCTTGCGAAAATTAAGTTGTTTACAGTATATTAGAAATCTGAGCCACCCACTGAGGCATAAACATGTGCCAAACACTCCCTGGTATGTCTATTATTGGTTACTACGTCCGTAGGCTTCTGTACTGCTTCGTTACAAGAATGCCGAACCCTGGAGCAATTCCTCAGTTATCAATACAGAGAGATGGGTGTCCGTTGAAATTAAAAAAAACCCTGACCCAGCAAAAAAAAATTTTTTTTTTCATGCTAAGCGTTAGAATGGTGTATCAGGACATCACCAAAAATTGATTCACTTTAGAGTTGTGTAGTTTTTTATAAAAAAAAAAATAGAAATACAAAGCCCAATTCAAGGTGCCTGCCAGTGCCCTGTGACGTAACAATGTACCGCAAGATGTCTGGGCGGTCAGAAGGGAGGCATTGTTGGAAGTCACGTGAGTTGTATCACTCCTCGTGCTTGCCGCAACCGTGTGTAAATTTTTTTAAAATATATTTTTGTTATTCTCCGCACCTCCGCAAGCAATCCAAGCAGACAACGTTTCTTTTATTTGCTTTTCTGCGCCTAATGTTGCTGTAAAGGTAAAAGAAGAGGAGTCAGTGAACCTAGTAAACAAGTTCTACTTATGTTCTACACCAGTGGTTCTCACATGGGGGTACGCGGACCTTTTGGGGTCTGTGAAGGCATTCTAGGGGTCCGCAAACACCAGCCTCATTAGTCAAGCCTATTATAGGCTTGAATATAATAGGCTTGCTATATTTTCTCAAATTGACACTAGTTATATTTTCTCAAATTGAGAAGAAACGTTCCAATTTTAGGGCGAGTTTTCTCGTATGTACGTCAAAAAGAGAAGTTTATTTCACACTTGCCCTTAGTTATAATTCCTTCATTAAATCACTATCATAATTAGCCTATACCTTTCCCTTTTCCTCACCACAAACGGAGTCCTCCATCATCTCCGCCAATCCACAAGGAGTTCGCGAAACATCAATGGTTGAGAACCACTGTTCTGGACAAAACACATACTTTATGCTCGACGTCTACTTGTACTTGGTATGTACACTCACCAGTTTGTATTCTCTAGACGGCAGGCATCTTCAGCCTGGAGAGTATCCAATGATTGAACGACCTTAATGTCTGAACCTTCAGCAATGCGATCGGGCATGTCGCATACTAACAATCCTATTTTCTGCGAATGTTCTAAATCTTTTTTTTTTTTTTTCAAAACTTGTTAGTTGGTTTTGTGCCCAGTATGGCCCTGTACCATCGGACTGATGGCATGCGCTCGTACACTAGCTTGTACTGACAATGCTTTCATCATTGGCCTCCATCACGTCGATCCACTAACTCTTCGTCCTCAACTTTTACAGCACGCAAACTAATTAACGGTGCAGCGATAAAAAGCTAGTGGAACTGAAACTTTGTTTTCTGCGATCACTCGTGAAGACAACCAGAATAACAAAAAAAAAAAAAGTCTTAGGCACGGTTGTGGAGAGCACGAGGAGTGAAACTCACACGACTTCCGGCGAACCCACTTTTTGTGACGTAGGTCAATGCCTCCCTTCCGACCGCCCCGACACCTTGCGGTACAGTTACATCACAAGGCACTGGTGCGCACTTTGAATTTTTTTGGCGTGTCTGAGACATTTGAGATGCCCCGAGCTAGACAGTACTGCAAGCTCTTGCACCAATCACGTGCGCAGCCTTGGCCAACTTTGTTCTCTCCTAACATATGAGAGGGTCGTCATTTCCCACCATTTCAAAGAAAGAATCAACAGCACAAGGAAGGGATTAAAGGCTACCGTGACTAGCAGTCCTTTCCTTCCCAAACTCTTTTGCAACACCTTGTATCTTTAGCTCAGCAACCTGTTATTTAGCGCATTTTACAAGTGGAAGTAGGACGTGAACAAATCGTGGCTTTTAGAATTCACACATGGATCAAGCAAGAGCCCTAAAAACACAAAGTAAAAATCCTTTAGTGCATTTTTAGAGATCCTTTCCCAGTGCTGAAAACACAGAAAACCTACTGCACAATAGAGCAGTTGTGTGCAGAGCACAAGACAGAGAAAGATGCCTCACATGCTCGGTCTTCATTCTTGCCGCCGCCGAACCGAATTTAGAACCACACGTTCGTGGACATCCGCTGTTTACAAGAAGAAGAAAAAAGGGCAAGCAACAAAAACAGTTAACAATCAATTTCTGGTGTCTGGTCACCAGACCCAAGTCAAGGCATGGGCATCTTCTCCACCGAGCGGCCAGCACAAATGATGGCGACACCATAGTTTAATTGCTCTCGCGAAAAGTTGGTAGAGGAATCATAAAACTATTTGTTCACTTTAGCTAACTAGTGCTTAGAATTGTAAAGCACGGTAGGAGAATAAGTTTTTTCTTACTGTGAGCTAGATTTTGCAAAAGGTGAGTTTATAAGTCACACATTCCTTCCTACAAAAATTATTTTTTAAAGTGCCTAGATAGGACATGTGAGCCACAAAATAAATTTTCTATAAAGAAAAAAAATGTCGGCACAATACTTAAGGCCTGTTCACAGACTTGCATTTGCTTATGACTGAGTTCTTGTTATCTCTTATAACGAGAAAACAGACTGGCATTATGGCGACATCTATGAGACGATCCTGAAACCACAGGGGGCGTACCACAGCCTCCGAGATTCTTGGCGAGCAAAGCTCTCCTACAGCCCTCTCAAACGCTCGTTCACTCAGCAGAGGGAGTGTGTAGCATGCTGATACCAACATCATGAAGGAAGATGACAGGAAGCTATGCCAGGTTACCGTGGCGCAAGGTTTCAAGCCCTGGACGTGAATGCTTCGGGGGTGGCAGCCGTCTACTCCGACCAAACCACCTCCTGCAGCCTGCTGCCTCGTCAAAGCGAGCGACCGCACCACCAGGCAGACAAGACTGCCAAAGCGTTACCGTCCGAAACCTTCGACAAATGGCCCGCGAAGTCCCCTCGACTCGCCGGCCGACTCGCCTGGATCGTCCCAGGACTTGCAAAACTTGGGGAATGGTTTTTGCAACCGTCGGATAAACGCGTAACTGAATGCAACATCTCAGGCCTCCGCGGTTTCGGGTCGAATTAGCTTTCAAGCTGTACCGTGGCTCTCCCGAGCCAATAAAAATTGTTATCATTCATAGTATTTTTACTGTCTCGAACGTACAATGCGTACACATGGTATTGAGCTCGTGGTTTCGTAGACGCAATTCAAGGGCCGCTCAGCTGGCGTGCTGGCTCTGGCAGAGCTTTCTCTCACCCAGCCTTTGCTGAGACGCGGTTTCTAGAAAGCCGGCCACGATCAACGGCAAACGGTAATGTTGCACAAAATGCCACCATGGCGTAAGGGCCGAAGCCGTGGAAGCCTCGCCGACGGCGAAGTCGCGGCGAGACAGCGTCTCAGGACCACTCGAGAGAAACACGATAAAGGACAGAATGAAAACGATGGGCAAAATTAAGCGAACAAAGGTATCATGAAAGAAATGGCGTTCTTTGAAGTCCCAAGCGAATGACGAGACCAAAGAGCTCGAACGCCTCGTACCTCCGACTTGGTAAAGCGATGTTTCGCCTGCTCGGTCTCATAAAGAAAATGATATCTTTTTTAGCTGAAAACTTGAATGAGCCTTGTTATTGACTCGCCACTATTTTTTGTCTAAGACGATTGGATGCGCAGTTTGTCTGGAAACAATCAGGCGAGAATTTATTAGTATGCATACGTTTATTATATACACTTTTTTCTTTTTCAGAGAGAAAACACTGAGATTTAAACCTACTGCTTCCTCGCCAAAGTAATGTGTGTGAGGCGCATAGACTGTAATTTAAACAAAAGAGTGCCTTTTTATCCGGGCAGCTAGCCAAGCAAGGTCGACGACGATGTACCTCAGCTCCCGTACATAACGCCATCGCACGACGGAAACGCCCTCGAGTAATTTTTTTTCTCTCCATTTCAGTCTCTCTCAACGAACGGAATGGCCGGAAGAGAGTTTTGCGCACCAAGAATCTTGGAGGCCATTAGTGTACCCATATTGATTTAAAATTTACTTCTTTTTTTGCTCCAGATACCGATTACTTGGAGGTCTGTACATGTGTCACATTCTTAACCTAACCAACTCCCACTGGAGCAGAATGCTTTTGCATTACCTGGGTGGCAGCCTACTTAATGCACTGCAGAAACCACTTCTTGGAAGTGCCTTGCACCCACACCTGGACAGCTGCTTCGAGTTTATCAATGTCTGTGAAATGCCATTCTCGCTGGGCTATTCATGCCAGTGAACAGGTGCTCACAACTGGGGGCCCAGTCAAATTAAAAATAGCGCAAAAGAGGCGGGACAAACCATACCCCTGGATGATCAGACGTCCGACTAGTTGTACGGCATGCCAGAAAGACGGCCGAACCTGTTTGGGTGCCGATCAATTGCAGCCCCACGTGGATGCACACGATGCAATGACTGACTTGCGCTTCATCGGGTTCGGCCATCTTTCTGGCACGTCGATTGACCGGTTGCTCATTTGGATGTGCATGGGTGTGGCCTGACTGGGCCCCCAGTGGTTATCCATTGTTGGGTGGCACGAAAAAACCCTAGCGAGGATATTTTGCAGTAATTCACAAGCTCAAAGCAGTTGCCTGGGTGTAGGTGCAAAGCACTTCAAGAAAGTGGTTTCAGCAGGGTGTTGAGAGCTTTCCACATACAAGGGTGGTTTGATAAGTAACTTGGTTCACCTATTAATAGAGGGCAACACTAAAATCTTTATACCAGGTTACTAAGTTACATTCATACGAGTGAGTTTTGGATGGTTACAAGTCATACTGACACTACCTCTTCTTTTCTGCAACTGCCTAAATGCGAGCATTTCGAGTAAAAGTGAAAAATTGACAAAATTGGAATTCATGGTGTAATTCAATTATATTGCCTAGGAGGGAAAACAGCCAAAATAAATTCATAAAAGAATTACACCTACATTGGGAGGCTCATGCCTTTTCTATGAGACTGTGAGACTTTGGGTGAATGAATTCAAGTGAGGCAGAACAAGCATCAAAGACACACCACGTCCTGGGGCATGGTTTTAGCCAACAGAAGACTAAAAGTTTGCGAGTTAGCGGAGGCCACCAGAGCGAGCGCACTTCATTTTACACACCGAATTGCACACGACAAAACCTTGTGCACAATGGGTGCTGCATTTGCTCACTCCAGAACAAAAACTAAATCACACGCGGACATCTGCCGACTGTTTGCAATCGTTAGAGAAAAATCTAGCAGATTTGTTTCCCAGTTTTTGTTACAATGGATGAAACTGGGATTCACTGCCATGTACCCGAAATGAAACCGCAGTCTAAATAATTAATGGACCGCACGAGGAGAAATGCCTCCAAAAAAGGCAAAAAGCATTCCATCTGCTGGAAAGGTGATGCCGTCAGTTTTCTGGGATGCAAAAGGAATTCCTCACATTCACTACCAAAAGCCATAATTGGGGAATACTGCACATCCCTTTGGGACAGATTGAAGGAAGCAATCTCACAAAAACATCCAAGAATGGCCAAAAGAGAGGTGTTGTTCCACCACGACAATGTTCCTGTCCGTTCAAGACGTGTCTCTAAGCAAAAACTGACAGACTTATGCCTTCAACCACATCCTCATCTAGCCCAGGGGTTCTCAAACTGGGTTCCGGGGAACACAGGGGTTCCACGAGCTGGTCTCATGGGTTCCGCGAACACCCGGATTGCGACCTCCCCCCATGCCGCAGGCTGCGCGGCAGGACCATGTAAAGCGCCTTCATCTCACTTTGTACTGACATCGCGATTGATATGGTGGGGATATATCGGAAGCAACACAAGCAAAATTGCCTACAATTGTGCATCTGTTGCTTCTCGGTCGGCAAATATGCAGGGGGGGTCCGCGGCAGTCTTTGAGGCTTCCTGGGGTTCTGCGAGATCAAAAAGTTTGAGAACCCCTGATCTAGCCTATTCACCTGCTGATCTGGCTCCCTCACGCTTGCCTCGGTTCCCGAAACTGAAAACTTTCCTGGCAGGGCAAGAATTTATGTCCAATGAGGATGTTATCCAGGTGGTCAACATATATATTTTGAGGGCCTTGAAAGTTATCTAAACGATGCTGAACCGAAATTCGGATTTCGGAAAATAAGGCTGCAGAAGCGTTGAATGGGACTGTACGAACTTTAAAACATCACTCATACATCGATATCTCAAATGGATGGCCGTATTTTTGGAAAAGAAGGGCCCGATCGTGCGAGGACTATGATGTCACGATCCTCCTGGAACAGTTGAGAAAGAGGGGAGGCGTCCTCGCTTCTCCCCTCTTCACTTGGGTTCACCAGCTCGGGGGGATGAAGCGAAGAGGAGAGGGATTGAGAATCACAATGTCAAGTTGCTCGTCGGCCTCATCGGCCGTATTCAAACACGCACTTCTTTTCCAAAAATGCGGCCATCTGTTAGAAATATCGCTGTAGGAGTGATGTTTTTGGGTTTTGCAGCATCCCACCTATCGCTCTAGCCTTGTTTTGCAAGCTAAAAAAAATTTTGGTTCAGCATCCCTTTAAAGGGCAACTCCGCTCAATTTTGAAAATTTGGAGTTAGTGGATGATGTTACCTTGCAAAGCACTCATAAACGACCCTGCATACTCTTTTCCCCGAAAAGTAAATTAATTTTCGAGTAATCTTGAAAGAAGCAAAATCGCAAAACGAAACCGAAACTTCGGCAAGGATGGGCAACACTATCGTCAGCGTCTACGGTCGACGTCGAGAGCATGCACACACCACGTGGGATACAAAGGGTCACGTGGCCTTCCGCACGGACAGGCGCTGCACACACGTCGTCTGCATCGCATCGGCTGCACAGGACGGCTCCCGCTTCATTTCCGTTGTGAACCGAAACACACAACGAGGTAAGTTCTTGCCAAGGTATATTTTGTACGCAATTGTAGTAGATGCAAGCTGGGCCTGTAGCCGCCGTCATATCTTATTTTATGCGGGGAAGCCAGTGCAATCACAAGCTTGTCAACGCTACGTTTTCGTCAACGCTACGTTCTCGTCAACGCTACGTTCTCGTGCACGCTGCACGCGCTTGCAAGCTGAGAGAGCTGTATTTCTAACCTGAACGGGTCTGAGGAAGTACTGTTGCAACGTAGTCAGCATGTGTGGCTTCTGTTCGTTGTTCTAATAACTTGTGTGGTGCGACCGTTCGTTGTTCTAAATTCCGATTACGTAGTTCCAATAGCCCCCGTGTATATGAACCCATGCAACCCTCCGATAGAAACGACTGCGTTGTTGCGTATGAGCGACTGCCAGTCTGTCAGGAGACAGTGAACGTACGCATCGTGCATCGTGTTAACATTGCCCCGAGAGAAAGATACACCTCGAAAGCCCGCGATCGCGTAGTGAAAACGTGTTCTGGTTCCATGAGCAATCGCTCAACACTTGTCTATGCCAAAGCGATGTGCTGGAGTAATATTTGATTGCATATGTTGCCGACGTAAAATCGCGTTAGCAACTCAATTTCCTGGCTGTCGAGATCTGAACATGATGGAGCCACCGCTGAGCCGTCTGCTGTCGGGGAAGTTGTGCCGCGTGCGAAGATCGACGGCACGGCGTCCGGCTTCAGCTTCGCGTACTTCGTCGAGAAGCCACAGTCAGCTAACACGCGCATATTTCGCTCGCAACATTCGGGCAAGAAGTGATCGAAACAGATCAATATCCTGGCAGTTGGCGACAAGGACTTCGTTCAGTGTCGCCAGGAAACCTGTGGAAGAGAGGACTCCTGGGCTGTTTAGCTGGTAGTTCGGGCAGCCAGCGACACAATAACGTGAGCCTCTGCCTTTGCGCTTTCTGCCAGCCATTGCAGAGGCACACCAGGAACAAATCTACGCGCCTCTTGCCTAAATAAAACACGAAACAACGAAAGATGAACACGGCACAACCAGCACAACGGCAAAGACGCAACCGGAGCCTCCGCGTTCGCTCGCAGATCACGTGGACACCGCCTCCGAGGTAGAGTAGGTGGAGTCACAATAGTTGGTAGAGTCAGAGGGCAGAGTGACCGCCGGAGGCGGCGAGCGTGGCGCCGCCTGTGGGATCTGTACCTCGAAACGAAAAAACGAAGAAAACATCTGCGCATGCTATAGACGTCACTGACGGTGGAAGCGGCGGAAGCAGATCGGCGGAAGTGCAGTGTTGGCTGCGCCGCACGTTCCCGCTATAGTTAGCCGATATTGTTACTTTCGCGCTTGTACAACTTTTTTAGACGGAATTCAATTCCAATATTTGACTTGTAGCCTTTCTAAATTATACTGAATAGAATTACATTGTTTTCTCAGTAGCAAAAATTGAGCGGAGTTGCCCTTTAAGGGAAGGAATAGAGATGCTAGAGAAACGTTGAACGAAGTGCGTTAAACTTCGAGGAGATTATGCTGAAAAATAAAACAAGTGACAAGACTCAAAAGGATGTCTCTCATGTCCAACTAAATTACTTATCAAACCATCCTGATATCTACAGACCTTCAAGTGACCGGTATCTGTAGCAAAAAAATAAATAAATTGCAAATCATTACGGTACATTTCACTAAACATTTACTAAACATTCTAAATCATTACATACATTTCCCTCACTGGCGTAGCCAGGGGAGAGGCTTATGGGGCTTCAGCCGCCCTTTCCGAAATCCAGCCGACCCTATATTACATACATGCATTTTGAGCCCCCTCCCTCCTGCTGCACCCCAAGTCATGGACATCCCAGTCACCTCAGCCCCCCCTGAAAAAATTTCCTGGCTATATTACTGATATCACTAGGGCAAGGGATCCACAGTATTTGCGAGATCAACCATACCTGCTGTCTATGAGAAATGTTTGTTTATAACAATGTCAAAAGATTTTCAAGCCAAGAAAGAAAGATGTATACGAAAGGCATGCAGAGCGCAAGTCTGTCTGCTTCTTTTCCAGGGTTTGTGGTAACGTCAGAATGCTGAGCTCCGATCGGTTCCAATTGGAAGGATAGTGGGTAGACCTCAAAGCAAGCTGCCTTGTGGTCTACCCAGCATCCTTCAGTCAGAGCCAATCAGAGCTCAGCATTCTGTCGTCACAACCCCTGCAAAAGAAGCAAACTTGCGCTCCGTATAGAAAACATACGGAAATGCCAAGTGTTTAAAGGCTATCCAACAGATGGCGCCAGTCTGTTCTCTCGTCGTCAGGGATCTCAAGAGGTTTTAAGGCCCTCAGTCGTAAGCAGTTGCAAGCATGCAAATCAACCCTTATAATGCAGGACGCAGTTTAGGTGGAAGTAGCTGTCCTCTGGGCCCTGCCTATTAGTCAAAGGTGCTTAGTTTTCTGAGCGCCACTTCTCAGCTCTCACTAGCTAGAGAGATTATTAATAAATGGAAGCTTTAAATGCCCACAAGTAAAGCACACTGCAGTTTTATAAGCCGCATCCGGCATTTTTCAAGACTAACGCAGCTCCCGGCATGTCTGCATTCCTGCCGAGCACCGCATTGAACAGAGCACGAAGTGGCATACGGTGAGCTCAGTAGTGGCCTTACCAACTCAAAAACATGGTTCCAAAGATAATCCTCGTATTCTAACTTCTAGCTTAACCTCCCACGCAATCTCTTCTATTGACAAATGGCAGTCTGGCACAGCACACGCCTTCCTAAATGTCGCCACTGGGTCTTTGGCAGCATTCGGATATCACACCCACTGATTTTTACCGTAGGAGGCTGGATTCTGGATCGATGCTCGTCTTGCTGGGGTTCAATGACACCGCCAGCAGCCATCACTTGACACCAGCTAATGCATGGGACTTCACAAGGAAAAAGTGCAGTTCCTCCCGTTTGTAAGCTGCTGGTGGCACTAAAACGTTTTGGCTGCTTTTCGGGAAGCCTGTTAAATAGCTTGTGCATAAGCAGTATTATAAACTAACAGCCCTCACAGTTCTTATATATTTTTTGTGGTGAAGAGTGATTCCGCTGGGCGAAAAAGGTAGTGCAGCTCAATGAGACAAGAGTTACCTTGAGTTCGATGAGTTGGCTTTAGCAGACAACAACCAACGCGCAATTCACCCATTTCCGGAAAGCCGCTGACAACGTGTAACTTTTTCGACATTCATCAACTTCTGGGCTTCCCCAAGACAGTGATGCCAAGTTTCTTTGCTTACTCCACTACGAGAGCAAGCTTGCCAGCTCAGTCGTGGGTGCTCTGGTACATTTGATTTTCTAATGAACATTCAAACGCTTGACAAATACCGATTCGATCACCAAACACCCAGTATAATGATCGCAACACATCGTAAAATACTCGCCTTTGAGCACCGCGTACAAGCTTTAATATTTCTACTTTTGTGTGTTTCTTTCATAGACTTGCATGTATTGCCTGGTGTCAAGCAATGACCACCGGTGGTGCCACGGACAGGCTCCTGATCCGCGATCCACAATAGAGATCAGTGATCACACGTCCCTATTCAACCATCGATGCTGATGCCTCAAAAAGCTATTATGCTCAAAGTGAATGCTTTAGTTTGGGTAGAGACAATTTCAGGACAAAGCACGACAATTGTGCCTACAACTGAGGGTAGCTTTATCTTCGGCTGTAAGACACGCTTGTATCCTTTCTGTTTTAGAAGAGCTTCCGGGCGCCAGAAAAGAGCGACCAATGAACAAGTACTCACGCCAGAAGAAGCGGTTCATCTTTTCGGTGATCATGTAGCAGCCGAATAGGAGGAGGATAGACACCGCCACGAAAACCATTAAGAACACCGGAGAGAGAACCTCCAAGACTGGGTACACCCAGATGCCATGCCTCAACCCAAGATACATCAGCCTGGAAAGAAAGAGAAGATTACCTCGTCAGCATTAATACGTGAACCCGATTTCCAGCCGCTTTCGATGGATGTTATCTGTATGGTTGTTGTAATGATCATTTCCAGTCTTATGGCAATGCTTACATGAATAGCAAATGAAAAAACTGCACATAATTTTTATTCCTCGATCTTTGCAGAAAAAATTCTCCATAAGTAATTCGTTTAAAGCCATTCCTTTTTGTTGACTGCACTTTTTTAACACTAAAGGACACTATGAAGAAAAGTCAAGATAAACCAATGCCCTCAACAACTAAGACCACCCAATATGATGTACAATTAATTGCACAAATTGTTCCATGGGCAAGGCCCTGAACAAATTACAAAATAAGGTATGCTAACACATCTGTCTAAATCTGTGCTTTTCAACACATAACCTCATAACTTAGTGTCTAAAAAAAGTGAAAGCCGCTTACAACTCCCTGTAACGCCGAATTAGAGCGCAGCTCTTGAGGAGGAGGAGGGAAGGGCGCTGGGGGGGGGGGGGTGGTTAGACTAAGCAGGGGGGGTCACGAAACCTTGGAGGGTCACGTGACCTTGGGGGTCACGTGACCCCAATGCCGATGATGTCATCACTGACGTCACTGATGATGTCATCAGTGACTATGACGATGCGGCTACCGATGACGTCATTAGTGACGTCACTGATGACTTCACCAGTGATGATGACGATGACGATGCGAATGTCGGTGACGTCATCAGTGACGTCGCTGACGACGTCATCAGTGATGATGACGATGACGATGCGGATGCCGGTGACGACATCAGTGACGTCACTGATGACGTCATCAGTGATGATGACGTCATCAGTGATTATGACGATGACGATGTGGATGCCGGTGACGTCATCAGTGTCGATGACGTCATCGGCGGGGGTCATGTGACCTCGAGGAGGGGGTCACGTGACCTCAGGGGAGTCACGTGACTTCGGGGGGTCACGTGACTTCAGAGGGTCACGTGACCTCGGGGGGGTCACGTGCCCCCCACGAAGTCACGTGACCCCGGTGAGGGGCTCGCGCGTTGCATTATGGGACATTTCCCATGATGCACCGCGCAATTACGCTGACGGCGACGGCGACGGCGACGCCGACGCCGACGCCGCTCAAGTTGGAAACGGGCCCCTAAGAGCTGCGCTCTAAAATTAAGGGCACATGATGAAACTATTAACCGTTTGAAACAACTGCACAAATTGCTGAAATGGAAACAGAGTGGGAGCCAAAGGCAGAGACGACGAAACTGCCATGAAGGCGGAGAACGCCTGGTAAAATTTGCGGTGCAAAAGCTTGCATCATTTCTGCATTATTCCTTCCACAACTTCCCATCTCTATCTCTGTATTTCCACGGTACCAACGACCAGAGATCTAATAGCACACACAAACTATGTTTTAAGGGGGCATTGTGCACTGCTTTTCCTCACAAGGTTGAAACAACTCCAGTACAAGGGCACAATTTGTTAAATTGGTAGCGTGCTTCAAAATAATGGTGCAGGCGAAGAGGGCTCACCATCCTACATAAGATGTGACGAGGCCAAGAACAGTGACGAATCCATCATTTCTGTTTGGCTGTACATGATAGTAGAGCGAGAGCTCAATCAGAGCAAACACAATAATAGCTGTGTGCTGGAAAAAACAAAATAAATTAAAAAAAAATGTTTACTAAAAGACAAAATGGCTGCAACAATGAACAAACTAAGCTCTGAAAAAAGTTTGTGAATCTGTGTTTTTGTATAGCAATAGCTCTTACATACTGTCTCTATTTCTGCATCATGTCACATGCTTCAGCAGCTTTTCTCGTGAGACAAGCTTAGACTGAAGATCATTAGATTTTTTTGAGGGAAGCTTTAATTTATGCCAAGAATGTGCCTTCTGGAAGCAGTTTATAAATAATCCAGTTTTTTTTTTTCTAAAAAAAAATAAACTTTAACGTTGACCTCCTGCAGGAAACTTCCTTTTTGCGATTCCGAGTCCGAGTAACATTTATGGAATGCTTCACAGGCCATCATTTTTGTGACAAGGATCGAGGCATAAAGGCAAAATGAACTGCCAATTCCAATTCAAGAACAAAAATTTTACACTGTGTAACAGCCAACAAAAATTTTTTTTTAGTGGTTATTTGCATTACATTGTTATGACCTAATATTGACTACAGGCTGTTCAAACACTGCAAAACTCTGTAAGCCCTGCACAGAAACAAAACTAGTTTCTAGACAAATGCAATAGTTCACCATCGAAGCAATGCCAAAAATGTTCATGTCATTTCTATGCCTAATGTCTCCGAGTATTCCCCTAAGTCTGCACAATGGAGCGCTCAATCTAGAAATGGACACACAGAAATTCCACCAGCTGCGAGTGTCTAGAGTCTTTCATCCAAAGAAGGAATTGCGTACCGACAAATGGTTCAACCATGCCGGATAATAGAGTTCCAGCTGCTTCGGAAAAATGAGCTCCCGGTCAAAGATGTAGAGCCCCCAGAAGAATGTTGAAACAAACTGCGAGGCAAGTGCAGAAACACATTATGCGCTTGTGACACAGTATAATGCAACTCTTCAAGGCTTTATAGCTCTCACATCTGAGGAACAAACAGATTGAGACTGCATGGGTTCCAAAAACTGGTTCCTAGAAATACAAAAGTTTCTCAAGCACCTAAAGCGCTTTTAATAGTCCCCACCCAAAAATAAAGTGCTTCTCCGATTTAAAAAGAACCTAAAAAGAAGACAACGAACACATTTCCAACATTTTTCTTAAAATGATCCTTTTAAGGATTTTTTTTTTTTGTCTCTTAAGAGGGTATGTTCAAAGAAATTTAAAACAAATACTTTATCACAATACAAAGAGCATGCGGAAACAAGCTGCGACCATCAAAACCTAGGCCGAAACTTCTGCTGAGATCTAAATAGGATGAGCAAACTAATTGCGAAGCCGTTCCCTCTCTTTCAGGGTATCAGCATCCTCTCTCGTGCACACCTCACGAAAGGAAAGTCAAGCATGTGGCAGCCGGGCTGGGGATTTTAAGTTCATGCTATTGCGGCAGTTCCAAATGTACACTCACTCTCAACGCAAACATGACTTCAGCGGTTTTTCTTACTTTACTACCGGCAGACACCAAAATTTTTCACTTAAGTCAGCACCCCAACTGAGCAGTTTTCAGCATTAGAGTAGTTTCAATGACCCTCTTTAAAGACCAAGAGAAAAATAGACAAAACTAGCAAAGGTTTGTAACATTTTTGTATTGTGTACAATCAATTAATTTTCTACTTAATTAACTTGCGGGGCAAGAAACCCCTTCATACAGATTAGATCTTGGGATACCACGGCTACTTGTTGCAAGCATATAAAATAAAATACTAAAATGATTTCAGAATCTTTGTAAGCAGAGCCAAGCTGTGCCAATTGGCTTGTGACAATGATCCAAACACTTTCTCCTTACCGCACCTAGCATCAGAAGAACAGTTAAAATTTTAAGCTCCAAGGCTGTTTTGCCGCAAGAGAGTCAGAGGAATTCGCCGCTTCTCTTCAACCCTTTTGGTAACCAAGAGATGAAAGTGTGCGACAGCTGCTGGGCTATTGTTTCACTATGTACTAGACATTTCATGCATCATGTACTTCCGGGCATTTCGTGCTGTCAAGACAGAATGGATTTCACAATATTTTGTCCTGTCACAAGACAGCAAAGGTGACAGGTCGGCAGAGAAAAAGGCACGCTCTAGTGCTAAGCATTTTGTTTCAACTGAGGAAAAGCTGTCATAGCTTTCAAGCTTATACGCATAGTTGCAGAGAACCTGGGGAACTCAAATTTGCCTCTCAGTATAGTCCTGTACGAAATGTCATAGGAATAGTTTATAGACTGCTTTCGTGTCCATGAAATATGCCACTGAAACAGAACCGTTGCCTCTGTAAGGCAACCTGAAACTTACAATGCACGTTGGCAGTGAAAGAGAGAGAAATGTGTGGTCTCTGAACTTCAGCAGTTTCCTCTTTTCTCGAAGTGGTGCAAAATCAATGATGCAAAAGAGCGTAAACATGGCACCTTGCAGCATCTGGAAAGAAAACAGGTGAAAACAGAGCAACAAACTTCGATGCCTCAAATGTATGATGTCACAAGATGCTTTTCTCTTTAACAATGTGAGAACTGCAGAAATGTGAATGACTCAAATTAATTTTTGAAATATGATTTATTATCTTCGCAGCACCAAATGTTGTGTAATATCCCCACGTGAAGATAAAAAACAAAATGTCATAGCTTTATATTCCAACTGAGGTAGTGTCATATCTCCAAAATTCCAAATCCTCCCATGCTGCAATCTATTATTTCATATGTGTGTATATATGACACAAATCTTTTATGTTTCATTTACAGCAGGACACAAACAACAGTCACTGAATAAGAGCTCATGAGATTTTGCAACATTATCACATACTTATGTGCCCATAGTTACTGCATGTTCATTAAATCTGTATGCAACTTTGACAATTACTTCAAACACTTTCTAGATAGATAAATCTATCTTGTGTCATGACAGTGCTCACCATTAATAGCTTTAAAACCATGATTCTCACAAATGACTGTTCAAACAAAATTAAGCTGTGATAGTGAAATGTGCAGCATCAAATACCAATGCTTACCATGGTTCCCAGATATTTAACCAAATTTAGAGTTATACCTCAAGATTCATAACTTAAGAAACATACTTTGTTTAATTTTTCTCATAACAATGAAAGTCAAAAAAAAAAAAAAAAATTGAAGAAAAAGGAGCACTGTTTGCATTCTTAAAAGCACTGAAAGGTCAAAATAATTTTTTTTTTTTATTATCAGAAACAATTGACAACGATGCCTGGACATTACCCTCAAAATTTGAATCTTGGCAACTCAGTATTTGTGAAGTAAAAAAACAATTTCCAAAAACCGAATTTGAAGTTCCCGCACGATCCGCGCCAGTGCCGTGACGTCAAAGACTGAGTCGTCCTGCAACTTGAGTTCCTCTCATGCCTCCGTATCCTGTTAGCCTGTGTTTTGCGATCAACCACTCCATGCGTGCTGCCTATCACTGTGAGCAGACAAAGCTTCACTTTCGAGTTTGAAGTTCTTTTAGGGCTCTTTCAGTGATCTTGAATTCTTTCAAACGGTGCGAGGTCGAAGAGAATGCGCAATGGACTTTTGTGAGCGACATGAGGGGCCACGTCGCGCCGGTTCTATGCAAAAGGCTACCCTGGCAGAGTCACAACCGAAACTACGGTACACAGTTGTTTTGACCGTTTGACGATTTCCTTTTCAAAATACGAAAGGTCACTGGGCACCTAAGAAAGAGAACTTCGCCCGATTCCCCGATCACCCTCAGTGCTACATGCGTCGAGCGCCGCCATGTTTTCCGAGGGAGGATGAAAAGCTAGGAGGCGACATCACTCCGGACTTCGATTTTTGGTACTTCAAAATGCATAGTGCATTCACAATTGCATTAAAAAACATGTTTTACAAATGCCGTTACTAAATATGATAAAAATGTCGCTTAAAAAGCTTTTAATTACATAATCGATTACGTCACGATTAAAAAGAAGCAAGGAAGTGAGAAGTGGGAGAGGAAAGCAACAAAAAGAAAAAAAGCAAGCGCCAGTGAACATTTCTTTTTTTTTTGCGTTCTGGTATTTTTGTGCGTGTTTATGGCTACAACTTGCATCATTTCCGACAACAAAAAAAAAAGAAAACTTTTGGGGTGTCAGTGTTTTTCTAAATCGCAGCCAGAACAAGCGACCATGTGACCTGGAGCCGATCCTATGTCACCAATGTCTATCCCAGCCACACGCTGGTGTTGGCAAAGCGCAGGTCAGCGAGTGGCAGTGTTGTACACATTCCTCAAAAAAAGGAACGAAAGCTCGTTCCTTCTGATTTTTGGAACGCGTTCCCGTTACAAGTTCCATCTGTGAGAAAGGAACTCATTCCCGTTACAGTTTAAAAAATGGAACGTATCGTTACATATACGTTACATTTGTATTTTTTGCTAATTACCAGATTTAGTTAAATCAAGCAGAGTTTTCTTTTTTTTTTTATCTATCCCGTTAATAGCCAACGTACGAGTTTGTATGTCGTGGTGGAAGGGCACCCGGAGAAGAAAACACGCGCAAGCAGGGTTTCATTTCTTGATATATTCATGGTAAAAATCTTATCTATTAACCTTGTCCATGCTTGTAGTGCACAATTCAGACGAGCCAAACGTACTTTTACCCAAGATTGCATGAGCGTTTTACAAAACCTCACACGTTTCAATTTAACAGACTCCCGTGTTAGAACTTAACAAGAGTTGCTTCTCGATGTTGCTGTTCGCAAGACGAGCAAGTAAAGGACAAGGTAGGGCTTTTGGAAAGTCAGTCTTGAAAGCTACAATACGTCATTGTGAAGGTTAGATTTGCTGTTCAGTCTGAAGTTGGGGACAAGAGAAGGAATAAAGGTTATTTTTTGTGTCTCTTTTTAGTGACCAATGTTCGGGATACAAAGGTGAGTCCGATATGTGGCAATCTGTGATCTTGTTGTAATTGTAGGTCTCGCTATTGAAGTTCAGAAATGGCTGTAGTCGGGAATATGATTTCTGGGTGTATAAGGATTCGTGGAACCAAAGAAAGTAACCGAGTTGAAAACAACCCTCCTTCTTTGTCTTTTCCTACTACTAAAAGTTTTGCTTTTTTACCGCAGTTTAGGGCGCTCAAAAAAGAATCAATGCCCACCGGCTTTCCTGTACCCTTAACTGTAAGCAAGCGAGGACCACACAAACTAATTCATAAGCTTTAGTAGCCGAAAAGTTATTGAGATCCTGCACTTCGTAAAGATATTGTTTTTTACTTTCATGCTTTCCCTGTTCGAAACAAAATAAAATTTACCCCACTGGACGAAAAAAAGGAACGCCGTTACTCTTTCCGTTCCAGTAAAAATGTAACGCGTTCCCGTTCCAGTTCCAGCGAAGCAAAATGGAACGGCAGCGTTCCTTCGTTCCTCCTAAAAGGAACGCGTTCCAGGAACGCCGTTCCGTACAACACTGGCGAGTGGGCACGAGCCACTGTCCGAATGCATGTAGACGCATTGATTGTCACAAGCCCAAATTGAATGCTCACACACTGCTGATGTCCATTGTAAGAGCCACATTTAAATATTGTCACTGCGGGGATCCCCATAACTTCGTCATCAAGTTCTGCGAACAAGACACTGAAAGGAAATGTTTGCTTTTATGCTTGAAATTGTTCGGCGATAAAGAAGCTCCTTGGTCAGCGGCGTTGCATGCGAGTATGCTTGGAACCCACCAGTGCCAGTAAGATTGTATAAATTCAGAAACATTCCTGCCCAATATTGTTACATGGCCCTTTTAAAGAATGCCGTTTTACTGAATTATCAGTGCCTATTTCCCCATTGTTACTTTGCTATTTATTTTCGACATTGACACCACTCTTTTAACTTCGTGCTCACTGCTAGGTTCTCGCGCTTTTCTGGTGCGGCTTATACCAGTGAAAAAGGCAGGGGGTTATGCACCACATTCATAAGATCTTTGCTGTTTCTTTAAACTCTGCGCCACAATTAGTGCAGCTAAATGACATCAGCCAAAGGAGTGTCTTTAATAACAGAGCTGCATAACAAAAATGTTTCAGCGTGTTGCGAAGGTAGACTTCTGGGCTTGGTGTGCAAACTACTATAGGTGGTACTCACTGGACACCATATTTGAGCACAGAATAACACAGAGCCTGACCTCATATCTATAGGCTGTTAAGGCCGGAAATCTTGACGGTTCGGAATGCGCGTTGAAAAAGAACTGTGGAAGATCGCAGTCGGTACGCGCTCAGTGGCTGCGCTCCCGGCTATGCCAGCCAGTTAAATACTCTCACAGCAGCCTGTGAATTCTGTATATGGCTAAGGAGTGGTAATAATGTGCTTGGCTGTCTTCGGCTGTCAGTGACTACAAAACATACTGCTCAAATGTGCAGAATCGAGAAAGAATAGCTTAAATGATTCTCAAACGACAGATGAAGTGGAAACTAATGTGCCTCAGACAATAGACCTTTCCCAAAATATGTGGCGCCCCCACCATTTGTTTCAAGCATTGCGATGTTCCGATGTACAGCAAGCAAGATTATCCAGGAATACAAGACGAAGTTGACGTTGGTTTTAACATTTTGTGATTTCAGAACACAGAGAAGGCAGAAAGAAATCAAACCGGAGTATGTGATTACCTCTTTTAGTGTTCGCAATGCAAGGTATGATGGCGCACACCACTGGCCACAGCAAGAAGAAAAGGTGCAAGTGCTGCAAATATGGTGACACCTTTTTCTACTGCTCAAGATGTGAGATGCACTTGTGCTGTTGTAACTGCTTTTAGTAGTTTTGTATGATGTAGTGCTTGCATATGCCCAATGTTGCAAGCTTTATTACACGTTTACAATAAAAGCCTCATGTCTTTTTTTGCTTATTTTATGAGGTCAGGATCTATGTTATTCTGTGTGTCCTAAAGCCATGTAAGGGTTTAAAGGTTTGGGACATCAAAGAGTCAGCCCAGCTTTCTAAAATATGAAATAGTGGGCCCATATATTATTCTGCATTTTTTTAAAAGCTAGTGCTAGCACTTCGAAAGAAAACAACCATAGATTAAAAGCCATATATGGAAGAAGCCAGAGTTCTCATGAATGCGAGTTCGATGAAACGACCCTGCTTACCAAGTTCCAGTGGGTGAGATATTTGTAGCGACCGAACATCTTGTGCTTGGGGTTCCTCTGTGGAATGTCCAGGTGCACTTCGGAGTAATATATACCAAACGCGTACACGGCGAAGCCAAGCGCATGGAATGTCTTGATCATCAACGTCGACATGACGGAATACTCTGGAATTTAAAGCAAGGATTTCAATGCAGTACCAAGCGCACGAAGAATGTCGGCTAATTCGCCAACTACAAAATTCTGACCACTACGGTAGCACCAAATCAGGATCAATATAAAGCAGCTTGCGATTTGTAGCATTTGGAGCAAAATGTCACAGAATAGAACTTCGAGCGAGCGAATATGCCGGTGTTAAAACGTACCAGCAGAGGCTGCAGAGCGATCACTACTCACTTTTGACGATGTTACTGAAATTTCACACAAGTCCTATACAGCTTGAAGGACGATCTTTCCATGCACATGCGTTCACAAATTTGTAGGAGCGGCCTTCTACATCAGGGCCGGCAAATGCGTTGCATCTTCGATCTTCACGCAATGGGCGAGACTAAAGCTGAGCAGACTTGAGACAATGTGGCTGTGTTCACAATCGAAAACCACTTGCTCGGCGTACAGATGCGAGAACGTGTTTGGCAAGGTAAGTTCAATGCAGCGTGCTAAACGGGGCAAACCGCAGACCGGCGACCGAGGAACACTTGAACACAGATAACAAAACACAGCGCAAGACGTAAAAATCTAAAGAAAAAAAAAGTGAAAGTGATGCCGTTATCGATTTGAACTCTGCGTTCATAGCGTTCGGACCCGGTGGTAAAACCGGTGAAACTGGTAAAACAAAACAACCAAGTGGCTGCTTTAAAGCAAAACAAAAAGAGTGTTTTCGCCTAGTTTTCGTGCCAACAAAGTCGGGAAAATCATACAAAATCTGTGATCCTGGATAGGGGTGTCGCGAACCAGTCGCGGGTCGAGTTCGACCAGGTTCGACTTTTTCGAACTTTTAATGGAAAGTTCGACGACCTTGTATTGAGGTTCGACTCGTGTGCGCAATGCGCATGCGCGACAGGCTGACCAGTTGGCTTCGGATTGGATGGTAATGGCTAAGAGATGAATTAAGTGCAGCGCTGATTGGCTATTTCAGTCAATACCACTGATCTCTATGACAATTGCTGGATCGCGCTTCCCCGCTTGTTCGCTGCAGCGCAAGTGAAGCCACCGGGCTTCACTCGCTTGGGATACGATTTGCCGTTTCTGCTAGCCTTTGCTGCGGTTTTCCAGCGTGCTGACGACACGTTTTCTACTCGTTCGTCGTCATTCGCCCAAGAAGTTTTTTGAAGACTCTGTGTATTGTTGAGACTTGCCGTTGTGAACACGTGGAAAATTTTACGAAAGTGCAGTGTCGCAGGAAAAAGGCACAACGCGTCGAAAGGAAGGGCTGGCGGCGTGTTCAAAGCTTCCTTGGCACGCCGAAGTGCCGTGTCTCTGTGCCTTCGCACGCTTGGATACCGACCAAGAACCGACGCCGTGTGTATATGTTCAGCGAGTGCAATGTGCGTGAAGCTGTTCGTGCCTCTCGATCAGCGTCTTTTCCCCTCGCGGTTTAGGAACGAGCTTAAAGGGCAACTCCGCTTCATTTTTGATATTTAGAAAACTATGTAGCCCTCTTCAGTATCATATAGGAAGACCCCACGTCAAATATTACGATCTAATTCCGTTTATTTATTTAATAAACTGGCCGGCAAACCTTCAAGCGAGCAAAGTCGCCGAAATCTGCCAACTCTAGCGTGCGGCGCGAGGCGCAATCATCAGCGCAGTCAATGCCACGGAGTTGGAGCGGCCAACGTTGAGCCACTACGTCAGAGGCATGTACGTCATTCTCACGTTTTGCTTGTTTTTATTTCTCAGAGCGAAATGCAACGATGACGTCATGAGTTTCTCCTCCCGGTGTTGGCTGACCGGGCGTTCACGTGATCACCGTAACACGGATGCGCTACTTTGCGCTGCCCTGCGCGCTTATCGGTCTGTTTCTCCGCTCCACTTCTCTTTCGTCTTTTCCCTTCCCCCTCTCACCCAGGCCATCACCGTCCACGCCACGCGAAGCGACCTTCCCGCGTCCAATAAAAAAAAAAAAAAAAAAAACCTGCCCGCGTCGCGTGTCCTGTTTCTCGCTCCCTCCCGAACGTCACAAGACCACGTGGTTCGACGTGACGCGCATGCCTTTGACGACCCGAGACCGATGTTGCCTGACGCAACCGAAGTTTCGGTTTCGGTATCTGCTGACGTTTAAATTAGGATTACACAAATAATATTCCACATTTCGCGAATCCGAAGACGTAGAGTTGTTTAGTAGTGCTTTGTGAATGTGAATCACATGGAAGCCTAAATTTTTCGGAATTGAGCGGAGTTGCCCTTTAATCCAGCGTCCACTAGCGACGGAAGATGGGGAGAAGGTACGTCTTTTTTTCGTCCTTAGACGATTTACACAGTACCGTGCACAACAGCTCCTCATCACTGATCAGTGCTGGCTTATTATCAACCTACTTAATTGCACTTGACGTTTGAGCGCGGCTCGCCCACGACCATATCGGCCGCGCTTCAAAGATTTTCATTCTCGCCGTCTTGTACTTTTGCTTTCGAAAACCCCCCTGGCTCCACAACGTTGCCCTATTCGTGCTCCCACGGAATCTATTAGAGCATATTTGGGACATAGCACACGTACAGATCTCCCCCTTTTATTGATAGCAACTCACCGGAACAGCTGGACGATCCAGAACTCCGTGGCCAATATATATAAATGATCTAAAGGCATCTACGCGCGACACACGTTCAGAACTTTGGCGCGGCGTCAATTCTTGACCGGTATCCAAGCGTGCGAAGGCACAAAGATGCATCACTCGGCGTGCCAAGGAAGCTTTGATCACGCCGCGACACCGGCGACACGTTTTCGACGAGTTGTACCTTTTGATACGGCTTCACGCACATTGCACTCGCTAAACACATTCACACGGCGTCGGTTCTTGGTCGGTATCCAAGCGCGCGAAGGCACAGAGACACGGCACTTCGGCGTGCCATGGAAGCTTTGAACACGCCGCCAGCCCTTCCTTTCGACGCGTTGTGCCCTTTTCCTACGACACTGCACTTTCGTAAAATTTTCCACGTGTTCACAACGGCAAGTCTCAACAATACACAGAGTCTTCAAAAAACTTCTTCGGCGAATGACGACGAACGAGTAGAAAACGTGTCGTCAGCACGCTGGAAAACCGCAGCAAAGGCTAGCAAAAACGGCAAAACGTATCCCAAGCGAGTGAAGCCCGGTGGCTTCACTTGCGGGAGCGGCAAGCGCGATCCAGCAATTGTCATTGAGATCAGTGGTCAATACAGTACTAAAAATTAAGTTATTAACTTCTTCAGTGATTAGAATTAGTTTCTTTTAATTGCAGCTGTTCACAAAATAAAATAACCCCTTGCATAAAAAAAAAAAAATTCTCCAAACCTAGACATGCTTGTATTAAGGTCTGGCCGCACTGTCCCTAAAGTCGAACCGGTCGAATTTGGTGAAAAGTACGAAGGTTCGTCGAACCGGTTCGACTCAGTCGAACCGCGGAAGTTCGACCAAAAAATCTGGTTCGACAAAAGTTCGCGACACCCCTAATCCTGGACTTCTGGAGCGGCGGTGGCACTGCGGAGCTGATGCCAAAAACGGCGACCGCCGCCATCTTACTAAAGGTAGAAAGCGGATTTTACTAAAGGTAGAAAACGAGTTTTAAGCGGCCTTTGAGTCCTCTAAACAAATAAAAAAAATAGTTTTGTTTTTCTTTTAATACGCAGCTCCAAAAGAAACGGTGCACTGCTACTGCCGCCTCGAACGCCGTTTCGTTTCACCTTTAGTAAGATGGCCGCCGACCGGCAAAACTGGCTTCACCCGGTCGCATGAGACAGTGCAGGAGACCGCCACTCCAGCAGTTTTAATATAACCTTGCAGTATTGGTGAAGCCTAGTCATAAAAAGTTTAAACGATTTTGTGCCCAGTGTGACCGCAGATCTCTCTGGCGATTGGTGCGCGTGACATGTCACGTGTGAGATGAACGGTTGATTGTAGAAGGACTCCCTGCAGGCTTGCGCGCGCTCCGTCCGGTAGGTTTTATCAGATCGAAGTCTAGACTGTGGTGTATTCTAGTACCCCATCGCAAGACGAAGGCTAGCTACGGTCACGTGATGTGGTCACGTTGGCATGGTAAGTGAGGAGAGTAAGGAGGAAAATGAGAAAGAGGCGAGGCGTCAAGGGAGCGTGGCTTGTGGAGGCTACGCGGCCGACGTCATGCCCTCTCCTACCCTTGTATTCTCCATGCAGAGGTGCCAGAGCCTGGACGGCCTGGACGCCTGAATCGTGATCGTGCATCCCACAGAGATCAGTGGTGCATCCCCACTTTGCGAGTGCGGCCACCCGTGGCCACCTTGCATCTGAAAAAAAAAATTTTTTTTTGGAGCGTCGCGGAGCCGGGTAGCAGCGTGCTGAAGACCAGGGTGTCGAACCGGAACCGAACCGAACCGAAAACCGGAACAGAACCGTTATTTTTAGCCGAACCGGAACTGAATCGAACCGAAATCTTCGCCGCCATATTGGAACTGAACCGGAACTGAACCGGAAAGAAATATAACGGTAACCGGTTCAAAACGGTTCACGGTTCTTTTTTTGTTAGTATTCCAAATTTATTATTTGGGAATAAAAAATTGGCACGTGTATTCCTCTACGTATTGATCAAATCGTCATATACAGAATTTCAATGTATAATAAATCCTGGTATTTTGCGGCGCTTTCTTATTGGCACTATGATTAGCCATGTGTGACATCGTCACGTGACGTCATGATGTCAAGACATGCTGTCAAGTAATGTCACACCACGTGACCCCGTGACGTCACGTGACTTACCGCGTTAAGTCGATTCAAATTGAGGACGTCGCTAGATCTAGTAACGTTGTTGATATCGTGACGCCACATGATATGACAACTTCGCACTGAGAGTCACGTGACACCATGATGTACCCGATTGCCATGATCCCAAGTCGAGTGCTCTGATTCATGACAACCAGCATCGCCAAACATTCGGGTAACGGCTCGTGTTCAACTCAAAGATTATGATGGGCCCGAGTCCCACTAGAGCTAGAAACAGAAACAAACGACAGCGACAAGCCTCAGACACATGCAGCATGTTCGCGATGGTACCTCTATACGCCTTTGAGCTGTTCGGTGCTTGCGAAGTCAGCACGAGCGTTTACAAGCTTGCAAATGGCACCATCTTGTGCACGATACTCGTGTTTGAGCTTAGCCTTCTTTATTCTACAAAGCCTGTAAAAATCGCGAAATACCATGGTTTAAGGCTAGCCGCTGTCGTTTGTTTCTGTTTGTCGCTTTAGTGGCGCTCGGGCCCATTATAGCCCAACTAAAACTATATCTGAAGATCAGCCCATGCTCTCTGCTTTGCCAACCCTGCGTATGACTATGATAAACGCTGACGGTGTATATATTAGGATCACATCACGTGACTGATAGTTCTAATTGCGAGTTGAGGAGAGGAAAGCTGTTTCATTTCTTTCTTTCGACTGTCTGCCATTTCGCGGACGGGCAAACTAATGGATGCTTTTGCAAGTTATCAAAATCAGGAATTACATCTTAGCGGTATTTATTGAACTTAAGGTAAAAAGAAAATGCTGCATGACCCATTTTACATGTATGCACACCATTGAGGCTCCCAAACATGTTTTCGTTATTGCTGAACTGCCTCAGAACGTTGTCTTGAGAATAGAAGTGTTAAAGGGTCTAAATGTGACGTATTAGTCCGACGTTACATGGAACTATTAGTGTGTACGGGAGGGACACCTTAGAAGAAAGATCCTAGTGGCCTCAGAGGGACAGCCGAACGTTGGCAGCCGCTTTAAGTCTCAAAGGAGTGTCGTTCTCAAGTTCTCCAAGTTTCGACCGCCCTGTATTCTGTTTAAACTTCACAGTGTGGTGCAAAGTAAAAGCAAGGAAGAATTACTGTTAACAAGTCACACAAATATAATTGTCGAGTGAACACCACTCAATACAGAGCAGGCAATCCCTGAGGAATAAAAAGTATCTTGAGGAGCAACTAAAAAAAAAAAAAAAGGGACTTGGGAGGGGGGTAGTTTTAAAGCATACTGTGTCGTAAAGATTCCTCTGCCCCGCATTTTTGGCGCAGACTAGGAAGCGTGGCTTGGAAACGGTAGTGAGAGATGGGTAGCTCGTAGAAGTTTTATTTGTAAAAACACTCTTGCCAGAAAGCAGGTTTTCGTCGTGCCAGATACTCGCGCCGTGCCTAACGACGATGCACCAACAAGAAAAATGTGTGCCTCTCAAATGCATAGCTTGCACTGAGCGCGAAACTTTTGCAGCGTGCATTTCGCCCCACCGGACTTGATTTTCTCAGCAAGAACAACTTGCAATGACCACCAGCGCCTAGTGCGATTACGTTACGTGCAAACCATGTTAAATACTTCAGCTTTCTGGTGAAGTGCGACGTTGGCAACACTAGCAGTAGACGTCCAAGGTGTAAAGTTGTGTAGTATATATAGCAGTCTCGCGATGATATACGGCAGCCTAATGAAATGTTGGAGCACATGACTGATAAAGAACAGAGTCGTGAAGTAAGATCCCAAAACAAGTGCACGTAAACCCTAAAATAACATTAGCCTCCCGAGGTAGTATCTCGCGACGTTTCGAGCTGAGGCAAGCTGATGCCCAAAAGTGATTTATATTAGGATTCTAAAAATCTTAGATTTCCCTGCGCGGAATCTATGTTTAATTAGGAATATCATTGTATGCATTTCTATGCATTTCTTTTTGCAGTAAAGCGTTGTATAAGGGATTATTTAGAAAAAATTGCATGTCATCTCTTCATGTCTGCACATTTCGTGTATTTGCCTTCCGATATATCATGTGACCACAGTGTTTTTTGGCATACCCTGCAACCCAGTATTTTACACTGCAAAACAGCTAACAAAAGCACGTTGCCGAAGACTCAACAGCTGGTGTATTTTCGAGTATCGTCCTTTCGTGTCGGTCTCAGGCGGTTATGTGAACTTCATAAAGTCAAATTTATCGATGATAATAAAAATATACTTAATTCCTATCTGAAGATTTGGCAGCATAAATAGAAGATTCTCACCTCGAAGATATATAAGTAAATACATTTTTAAATTATCTAAAAGCTGTTCTGAAAATCTTTTTCGGCGCTTTTATCCTCTATAGACACGTTATACGTGATTTGGAAAAGCTTTAAATAATGTTTTTTTATTTATTTTAAAGCTAATTTAAATAACTATATGTGTTCCTCACGCATATATAACTTTTCTAATATATAGAAGTTTATTATCGCGTTTTTTTACTGGAACGAATGGGGGAACTATGACGATTCCACACTTAAATTCTCAGAAAGTGCCCAATTAAGTAGCTTTCGAATTGAGTAGAGCATGAAATACCACTTTGTTCTATTCAACAAAAATCATCACTTAGCGAGGGTGATGCTTATTTGCAAATTAAATTGACCGGCATTTTGTCAAGAGCAAACATCAACATCCAGGCTATGCCAGTTTATCCAATATAAGAAAATTTTCACATGGGTAAGCACTGTTTTAGGTCAGATTCGATCTCAGTACGAAGGTGCTCATAGGTTAGAGTGAACAATTTCAGCCACTCCTTTTCGCATGATTCGTCGCCCGCATCATGGTGCTGAGAGCAAACAATGCTAGTTAGAAAAACAAGCATTGCGATTGTCGCTTAGTGTTTCTATAAAATATAGACTGGAAGGACTTGTCACGTGACTTTCGTGACATTTTAAAAATTATATTGCCTTAAGCTCAGTCGTCTCGTCATCACATATATATTGTGAAACGTATTCCATAAAACACATTTTATGGTATATATGGCGACCGAGGTGCCCATTTCATGATTTTATTCACTGTAATTAATTCCTTAGTTCAAGGGCAAAACCACAATTCAACATCTAATACTGCGATACAAAGTTGTACCAATCACAGGTATTTTAGGCAACCTACTTCACTTCGCGAAAACATTTCGATTCAGGTACAATGTTTGTGACTCTGGCGTAAACGAAGGGATGTTGAGTCGTAAAAACACGACGTTTTGTATGTTACTATATCCTCTTGGCCGTAGAACTCACCTGCACAAACCGCATAACTGTAGCTTTCACGGCTTTTTTTTAAATACATCTAAAACCTTTCCAAAAAACGCTCCTAGGCCGCCGCCATATTGCTGATGCTGATGCGGCTGGTGCGACTCTCGCGCCCTCTATCAGCTAGAAATTTTATGCCAGTCTCTTGGACTGTGAAGACCCGCTCAGCGTGGTTCTCTATCTACGTTTTTGCGGTTTTGCATTCGACGTTTTCTAACCTTTCTTGAAAGTTTCTACTTAATTTTTTATTAATGCGTGCTGCGTACCCCCTTTTTTTGTGTTATCTTCCTCTGGGAGAAATAAGGCTGGCAAGTGCCCGCCATTCAAGCTTTTCTGCTCGTCATTCACGGGAAACAAAGAAGGTGAAGGACGTCGAACGGCCCTCGACGCGATTTTGCGAACGTTGTCTCCCCCCTCCCAGAGATAATCCGTGTAGAATCCTCAGTCATCTCCAAAAATAGTTGTCCGGGATGGGGTGGGAAACAGGTCAGTCGCGTTCGTTCCTTTGTCTTGGTTAACGAGAAAAGAGTCAAAGTACAGGCTAGCTGGTGGAAGTGCTGATGCTGCTCTTCTAAAAAAAAAAAAAAAAAACCCAGTCTCAGGGTAAACGACGAAATGTTTGTCTTGGTGCTGTTGTGAAAAAAGGAAGCTCTCCCCAAAACGAAGTCATCTTAAATTCCGTCCGATCGTCAAGATATGACTGTCGTCGGCTGTGACTGTGTTATTTCAGATCTTTCTAAAATAAATTCTTTTCAGATAACGCTGCATCGTGTGGTACGTACAATATATTGTTCGAAAGTGAACACTTGCTAAATTGTATGTCCGTGTCCTGTCAATCGGTAAACACGTTAATTGTGAGTGTGAAAAATGCATGCCTTTCGGCTATCTTCTGTTGTAAATTATATTCGACAGCTAAGCGCTTTGTCGTTTGACATGCGGCGAATCGCGCGGCGCCGTCAAAACTTATCGTAACAAAAAAGAATTATATATTCCAGTCGCATTCGTTCTGTCATCGCGCGCGTACCCAAAAAATAGTGTATATGTTTTTTATTACTTTTTTTTTTTCAAATGTGGTACAATGCTTTTTAATGACATCGGGAAAATACATGCACCATGAAACACAAAATACAGCGGGAAACGACGATAATTTAGCCACCAGCAGTGTTTGAAACTGCGCCTATCGAAGTTACAGTCCACTTGGTTAAGGTTAACAGGGACGCCGGTGAGAGTCTAGCCTCAAACCCAGTGAATGGGCTCAAAAACGGTTTGCGGCCCCTGGGGTCGAGTGTTTCTTGGAAAGGTGTTGATAGGTTAAGAGTGAAGTTGAAGCTCCTCCCACCTCTCTCCACTTTAGCGGAGCGAATGCTGGAGAGGAGGCTACTTCCTCCCCGGCGTTCGCTCTGCCAAAGAGGAAAGAGATAGGAGGAGCTTCGCTCAATAAAACAGTCAACAAAAGACTGGTTTTCATATTGACACTAGCTACGGATAGTCAGCTGAACATTTGCAACGTGGAGTAAGCAAAACGACTCCAGTCTTTTTGATGACACAGTCAGCAAGCGACTAAGGGTGCAAAAAATCAACGAAAAAATTTCAACACAAAATCAACAGACTTTTTGTTGACAATGTTACCAGAAAGTCAAATTCAAAAGGAAGATACCAGAAAAGTCGAAAACAATTTCATAGGGGTTTCATATACGACAGCGCACTTCAATTATTAAAACTGTTTATTGAGTATTAAAATTTACCAAACGGAACGCATATTTTTACAGGGGAGGGGGAAGCGAAAGTCGGGGACTGACTACATCCGCTGCGAAGACCCACGAAGGGGTCGACCCATGATGTTCCTAAAGATGGAGCACCAGCCATCGCTGTCAGGTTCACGGGCTGTTGGGCGAGCCTGTGGAAAGAAATCGACAGAGTTCCATTTGATAAGTTCATACGTAGCGTCCCCACGCTGTTGGAGCTACGCGTCTGCACAAGCGGTACGAGCCAGATACCGCCTATCCAGTGCTTTCGTGCACAAAACATCGAAACTGGATAAACAAATCTAAAAGCGACGAGTAGTGTGGCACCTTATGCGGATGCAGGCATACGCATCCGTTTTCTTGCCGTGTCGTTTAGTAACTATTACAAAGCCCCAGCGCGTTACGAGAAAAAAAAAATTGGAACGCGACGCTGTTATCGAGTTTTGTTAGCAAAGCCTCCCCATATAAATGCGTCCTCGTTGCCAAGCCGTGCAAGCGTGGTCCAGTGGGTAGCGTCAAGTGCCACGTGACGTCACGCGTGGCTGCGACGTCATGACCCCGCCACCCGGTTTCCGCTAAAATTTTGCGGGAAAAACTTTCGCTAGATTTGGCAAGAATATGTTCCGTTAAAGTCGGAGGGAAAATCCCATAATGCAACGCGCGCAGCCGTTGCATTATGGGATTTTTTTTTTTTTGTCCCACCCACGCCGGATTCCCTGCAACACGAGCTCCTAAACGCTAGCGCGTTAAAATACGAACACGTAAACGCACAGCATTACACGATGGAACTGTAGATGCTTACGTCCCACATTCTAAAGAGCAGAAATCCGAAGACTGCTCCTTAATTAAAAAAAAGGAAGCGCCGTCCTCACGCAGAAAACACTGCATTGGCAGCCGCGCTACATGGCGCAATACCAAAGCCCGTGATCGATTTCTACCTATCAAGTGGAATAAATAATATCAAATATCAATATAAAATATCGATAACTACCTTCGGAAAAATTCTGATACACACCTAATTTGCCACAAAATCGGTCAAAACCCAAAATAAGAAGTAACAATTTTTTATTTATTCTCATTGTTTTTTTTTTCCCACCCTTTTTGGGGGAAAACAGACCTGGAGGGGGCCCTGGGTTTCAGTGGAGAAGACGGAAGGGTGTATTACAAAAGGGTTGAGGTAACGAAAAGGAGGTTAGAGCATTGGTGGAAGGAGCTAGGAGACTAGGGAAAACTGAAATTGGTGAAAGCAACCAGCACAACTGGAGACAGGGATGGCAGAGGAAAATTGAGACTCCCTTCCACGTGGTTCCGGCCCAAAGTCTTAACCCTGTCTCTCAGTGGGTCTGGGTTTTGGAAATAACCTCGACAAGGTTGACCAGAAGAAAATTGGCGACTCCCTCGCCCGGGGGGAGAAGGCGGGGGCGCGTTTTTTTTCCTTTATATTTTGTATTTGCCCGATCCCCCAAAGTCAGCCTGGTGGATTATTCCCCCAACCCGGTCATAGTTGCAGGGATGTAGAGAGAAAGAAATTGGGTATATAAATGGGGGAGGAAAGCATGTTCTCATGCTAGGTGGCGCAAGCTACCGCCCGTTACAAAGGGCACTGCCAATATCATCCATTCATCCATGTTGTATTTGGCACAAATGTGAGCAATACAGCTCTTTCTCGACAGGTACAAGAAATTTGAACATGTCAAATAAAGAATAGAGGAGTTCACACGGAAAATACTGTTTTCTTACGACTGCCTGCTCGACTTATAAGCTATAGAGCATGAGACATCTCCCGACTATACAGCAGTGGAAAATTTAAACGTTGGTTTTATTAGAGCTCAGCTCTTAGGCGCCCGTTTCCGGCTTGAGCGGCGTCGCCGTCGGCGTAACCGCGCGGTGCATTATGGGTAAATTTCTCCGCTAAATTTAGCGGAAAAATTTCCCCGCTAAATCTAGCGGAAAAATTTCCGCGCTAAATTTAGCGGAAAAATTTCCCCGCTAAATCTAGTGGAAAAATTCCCCATTAGACCTAGCGAAAAAATTTCCCCGCTAAATCTAGGGGACAAATTTCCCCGCTAAATCTAGCGGCGAATCTAGCTGAAAAATTTTCCCGATAAATCTAGTGGAAATATCTAATCTAGCGGAAAAATATCTCTGGGGGGCCACGTGACCCCGAAGGTCACGTGCCCCCCCCTTCACCCCTGAGAACACGTGACCCTCAGTACCCTTCCCTCCTCCCCTTCAAGAGCTGCGCTATAATTCGGCGTTACAGGGAGTTGTAAACGGCTTTCATCTTTTTTTTCTCAGTGGCTGTCGTGAATTTAAGGAATATAAACAGCATGCCGGGGGATTAATGTCTCGGTATTATAGAAATGGGTTTGTTTGGATAGCTCAAAAAACCGCCGGTACAGCCACAATACACAAACTGTTATCTTACCAGTGGGGACACAATCGGGAAACTCATGGCACGGCGCCGGAAGTTTCGCTCCCGTGTTAGTGGATGCTTGGGCTCAAACACTTGGCGCACCCTCTTCCAGAAGGACACTCGACCCTGCAGTGAGGACGCTGGCGTGCACAGCCGCCACGGAGCCGGAGTGTCGGTGTTCCCAACCGGCGACGTCCTGGCCGACGATTCACTGTCCACTGAAACCTTGGCGGGCAGGGAGACGTCCGGTACGTCATCGGGACACGCTGACTCGAGTCGATCCCCCAAACCGTAGAGATCGTCCAGTTCCTCCGGGGAGAGCAGGCTGTTCCGAACCCACTGTGACCTCTGCTTCTGAAACGAGGAAGACAGCGACAATTCTTGGACATCGACTTTCATCAAACTCGAATTTCCGTTAGCGCAAGTTTCGATGACGAATTGATAGCGTTCCGGCTAGTACATCGTACAAAAGATAGTCTTCGGAGACAGCATGGGGCGTGTTTGTTCCCTTCATGACAGTCATGTCACACTGGTCCCACAACAACTATCTGCAGATTTCTTAGAAGCACGCATATGCAGGAAATTAGCGTCCTTCGAACGTACGTGAGGCGCGTCTGCAGATGATTCTGTCGCCGTGTCTGCGGACGGCTAGCGGTCTACACACCATCGGCAACACGGGGCATGTGATCGTTCCTTTGTCGCAGGATAGGACTCCGTATGCGCTGCATTCTTTGAAGTGGGACACGGCCCACTCGTCACGTGCCAATTCATCTGAGGGCAACTGGTAATAGGCGCATCCGTCACAGGGGAATCACTCGTCATAAGGTTCGTCGCTGTAAGAGCTCGCCACACATATACCCCAGGGTCTCCTCGTGTTTTGTTCTAGTCGGGTCTCCTTAGAGGTTTTGTAAGGAGATCGACCGGGGCAAACCGAAACAAGGTGTCAAGGCCAGCAAAGTTGATCACGGGCGAACACTTCTTAATAAAAGCAGCGAGAACTTTCATCGCAACCTCGTGAATCTGATGCTAATAATACAAATTTCAACATGACACCTATTGTGCGTGCCCATGTGATGAGTTCTTTTATGACTAATGATCCTACGTGACCAGTTGCCCTGCTATCAATTGGGCTATGACGATGGTTCCATGCTTTCTAATAAATAAGGATAACACACGGCAGTAAATTCTCCTTAATCTGGTTTTATCCGAAGAACTCCGAACTTAAAATCCAGAACAACAAAATAAAAATTCACGGCGTTTTACAAATAAACGTTACAGGAGCCCAGGGGCAGTGGTCCCAAGAAGATTAAATCTCGAACTACTTCCAAAAGTGGTGTACCCTTGATCTAGTCAAGGTTTCTTCGGGACAACAGATCATAACACATTTTGTTTATTCGTTGGCTGACACCGGCACTCTCGCCGAGCGTTCAAGTGCCGTCCGAAGGCACTCGTGCCTTCAAATGACGTCCGAAAATATTAAGCGCAAGTCACGCTTATTCTGACATGTGTTCCAGTAGCTGCTCGCCGACAATTTATATTAACAGAAAACGCGAGCGAGACAAACGCTACAGGAGTGAGCAGCATGTTTTCTTGTGCATGTCTATAGGCCTGTAGCTCTCAAGTTTTGAGCAGCGCTTCAGGCGAGCAAAATAGAATATTTGGCTCGCGTTTCGAACATACGTCATCACGCTTCCCCACTATAGTTTTTTATACTCCGTTCCATTATAAGTGCCAGCGTAGCAGAGGCTACGAGGGCGAGCTCCATGCTGTCAGTGTCCCTGCCAAGCAGGCACGCGCGCTCGTGCAGTGCGAGCATCGTTCAGGGGAACATGCTTTAGCAAGTATAGCTTCGGCTTCGCTATCAAGTAAAGTGAAACATACGGGCTCACGGAAGCTATGAAAGAGAGCAATAAAATAATAAAGCTGAAAGGAATGCTTAATGGGACGCTGAGGCCGCGAGCAGCATAATTCTTTTTCTTTTATTCTAGTTTCTTTTTAGACGTTTTGTGATCGCGCGTCTACAGATGCTGACAGATGCTTGCATTCGAACGTGGCACGTGCAAAATCGAACGTTACAGCGCCGCCTCAATGGTGCTGCCAGCATAACATGGTCGCGTCTTGCGGACGCGCTCGCGCCCCCTGCCCGAGAGCAACCGGTCTATGTGCGCTATGCTGCAAGTGTGCGATCTTCTCAAGTTTGCCGAAGTGGCACTCTCTTGAAGGTACTCCCCCCCCCCCCCCCCCCCCTCCCCTTCTCCTCAACAAAAAAGAAAAGAAAACCTTTTACAATTTATTTTGAAGGCACGCGTATTGAACCTAAATATTTGCTAGTCCATATATGTTTCTGAGACCGGTTAATATTTGTTATGAACAAAGTTTTATGAAACAATTTAATACAAAAAAAAGTACAGCTAAAGTAGGCATACTGATTTCGGCCACAAGATGCCAAAAGGAAGACATTCTTTACTCAGGGACGGTATTTGCTGGGTAGGGGTACGGTGGCCATAGCCACCGTAGTAGGGACATCGAAAGACGGCGCTTGAATGCGGGCGCAAGGTGCCGTCGGACGGTACTCTAGACATTGTGTTATTTATTATTATTTTGGAATACAGTAAATTAAACTCGACAAAAACGGAATCTTATCTAGGATGAACCATCACGTGACGAACGGCTGAGCATCAAAAAGCTCACCCTTATCTCCTGGGCGTACTGCCACAGCTCCACTTTCTCCCTGAAGCTCACAAGCGCCTCCCGATTTCTGTCCAGCTGGTCAACTCGCTCAAATGAAAAACAGGCCACATCCTCGACTTCGATGCCCTCACCTGAAAAGCAAATCTTATATGAATGTCACAATAAACACACCGACAAAGTTTCATGCAAATTCGATGAAAACAGTGAAAACTAAGCTGGCCGTTGTGGTTTACGTAGACAAAGTAGAGCAGAGCTTGACCCTTTAGTGAGACAGGTATACGGGAAACAAAAGAGGCAACTTAAGCACGTTACTTGAAAATTACAGAGCAACGCAAAACATAAAAGTTTACTTTGTAGCGATTTTCCCTTCGACACTGTTAAGCAAAAATAATAAAAAAAAAAATAAATAAAAAGAACATGAATCGAAAGCGCATGTACTGCAGATCGAGCGATTAAAAATTGAATTCTGTACTTACTCCACAGGAAGTCCAGTTCGGTCTCGTCGAAGTTGAAATACGAAGCGGAAGATCCAGAGTTTGTTTGAGATTCCTGGGAACCAAACGAGGCAGCACGACACAAGGAGTTACTAGAGAGATCCATAAGGCTGGCGAAAGTTCTCAGTAGACTGCAGCGAGACCTTGTTCAGAATGGCAAGAATAACCTCGGCTGCTGCTTTTAAAGCTGGCTTCAGGTGTCTCTAAACAGGACTAGAAAAATGCATACCCGGACATGCATCTTTGTGTTACACTGCTGATCCCAACTTTCAAGGTCTTTCCATACGAGAGTACGGTGACAGCTCCAGGATGAACAGCCAGGTTGTGCAAATAGAGAGAAAGAGAGTGACCCCGAAAAAAAGTTGACCTTCACCGCCCGGTCGTCTTGACTTCGAATAATTCTCGAAGGTCGGCGAGTGTCCACGCTTTTAGAATCAGACTGTATGGGCTGTCTTTATAGACAAGAATAATTTAATAAACAATAGACCAACAACTCAACTTTCGCCTGCTGTAATGCTTCACTTAAAAAAAGAAAATAATTGTGTTATTTAGGAAATTGAATTGAACGCGCGTTGTAATCTTCAACGGACGTTGATGCACAAACACCAAAAACCTTCCTTCCAAACAGTGCTAAAAAATAAGAATAAAAGAATGCGATGTTGTTGTTTTGTGTGATCTTTTTTTGTTTTGCAGCTGTTTTGCTGAATCACGGAAACATGTACAATCAGATATATGACCTGGTTCTGAATACTTAAGCAGAAAATACAAACAACATGGACTTGCACTTGATTTCAATTGATATATTTCAAGGCCTTTCAAACACTGTATGTAGACTCACTGCCTACATAGTGGATAACTTGGTGTTGCATGAGAGCACCCGATGTCAAAAACCTCGTGTCGAATGCCCCGCGGCAAAAGCCCCGTCATCTTTGAGCCGCTTTCAAACGCCCTAGTTTCAGAGGCCCATGACGCGAAACCCCGTGTAAGTTGGCCGCGGGTCCTTTGTGTGATGGCGGAGCATTCTGCTTTGAACTAAGACGTAACGTAATCATGCCATGCCCGGGACTCAAGTAAGGAATAACTGAATAAATCTTCCCGTTGTTCAGGCGTGCGCTAAGGACATTCACCTCTTGCGACATTAGAAGTGCAAACAAGCAGAAAATATCAGTTACATAGCAAAATATATGAAGTGGCGGTTTTTAACAGATGTGGACTATACAAGGATTTTTTTTTTCTTTTTTCTAGATCGTTCACTGTGACAGGACGTGAAGGATTTTATAAATCACGCGGTATATTAATGTTGATATATATATATGATACAAGTTTCTTTGTGAGCTAATACGGCAGGCATTTGTCAAGATGTGCTGTGTACGATAATTTATGCGTTTGGACTTAGCACTAAGTGCGGACTTTAGTCCGGAAAATACTGTATATGTAACCAGTGTGAACGAAAAACAAGCTAATGAAGAAACACAGATACACTCCGTTAAAAGGCTGAAATATTGTTTTATCGCTCATCGACAGCAACACAAACTGCTCTCCCTCGGTCGGAAACCGTAGTTCATCATCTCTGACGAACTCACAGGGAGTGTTGACACGCTGCAGTCCCAATCTACCAACTTCTCGGGCCTCAACCATCTTCCGCCTAATCTTGTCTCTGTTTCTATTAAGTACATCACACCCTGATATGACCGTATCTACGTTGTTTGTAAGGCAGACAGGCCTCTGCAATAAAAAAAAAATCCTAAAAAGAAAAAAAAAAAATTAAACAGTCTAATTTTGACACGCGTGTCAAAAAATAAATGTCACGCGAAAAAAAAAAAAAAAAACTAGAGCCATATTGACGGCGAGAGATTTACTTGAAATTCTGGGCACAAAGTGCATGACGTCACTAGTCATTCCGGGGTGACCATCTCGGTCTTTCGCTCTTTCCACCTCAACGTGAAGGCGCACACGCGCCCAAAATGCCGAGAGAGAAGACAGGTGGAAAGCTTTCAGAAATAAGGTGGAGAACTGGGCCAGTTGGTTGACGTTATACATGATGGGGAAAACAGCTCAGAAAAAAACACGGACTACGAAGAGGAACAAACACGACAGGGACAGCCTGTCGTGTTTGTTCCTCTTCGTAGTCCGTGTTTTCTGAGCTGTTTTCCCCATCATGTATCTTTCAGAACATTGCAAGCGTTGTGGGTGTGAACCTTTCCTTGAATTGACGACCTTCTTAGAAAAAAGAAACTGATAGGGAGATTTTTGGGAGGCATTAGAGAAGGGTTACTATTGCGTGAGCACATCTTTTCCTCTGTATATTAAATAAAGATATGGTTTTCTTGACAGGTCTTTTGCAAAGTGCCCAATGATTGTCTAAGCGTAGCACGATTGCCCCGCGTGCAGAATCCCTTTCGCAAAAGCCCTACGTCATTAGCCCCGCGTTTCAAAAATACCGCGTTCAATTACCCCGTCGCGTATTCCCCTTCGCGTATTCCCCTTCGTGCCGAAAGCCCCGTCCTCACTGTCCCCGTCGCACCTTCTTCGCGCTTCAAGCCTCATTGTTCCATGTCTTAACCTAATCTGTCGTGGTCACTGATCTCTATTGTAGTAGGCTGGATCGTGGACCGCGGCCTCGGCAGCTAAAGCCCCTTCATGTTTCCAAAGTAGCGCAGGTGCGTCGATGAGCAAACTGCAGCCCGTGGGAAGATCATGGCGGCACAGCGCAGCACTCGGATAGATATTAGACGCCATGTTCTTCCCAGAAGTGGCGCGCGGCACGTGTCTCGAGCATTTCCACAACAATGAATGGCAACACTTTTCCCAGGATAGACGGGGCTTTATCGGCAGCTGGGGCTGAGTGTCGCCACCGGTGGTCATTGATTGCCACCACCAAATGCATCGGACTCTATGGGAAAAACGAGAAAAAATGCCGTTCCCCCCCTTTCTAAGCTGTTGTTGGCACTGAACCTTTTTGGCTGCGTTTCGGGAAGCCTGTCAAATAGCATGTGTACAAACATTAAACGTGACAGCCCTCGTAGTTATTATAAATACATTTTTTGTAGGGATGTCGCGAACCACCCTAGGTTCGATTTCGAAAGGTTTCGATATTTGCGAAGCGAACTGAGGTTCGATTTCGAAAAATTTCGATATTTTCGTACCGACCGAGGTTCGATTTCGAAAAATTCGCAACTTTTGTCCACAGCGGAGTTTCGAATTCGAAAATTTCGAAGCTTTCACGGTTTCTAAAATTTCGAATTCGAATATTTCGAATATTTTTTTACTTCAGGTTCGATAAATTCGAAGATTTCGAAATTCTTTGCAAAAAAAATTCGAAAACTTCGAACGCTTCGAATTTTAATAGATATGAAGTTCGAACAATTCGAAGATTTCGAATTTCTTTTCGCATAAAGTTCGAAAAAGTTCGAAGGTTTCGATTCTCTTTTAACGCTAAATTCAAAAAAAAAAAAAAGAACTTTGAAGATTTTGAATTTTTTTATAATCCAAGTTTTCAAAGTTTGAAGTCCGATTTTCAAGTTTTTCCACAGTTTCAGTTTCAAATAACGTTTTCACGACTCCCTGGTTTTCACAAAATCAAGTTTAGAAAAGTTAGGGTGTGATATCTAGATTCTGCGAAGTTGGACAGGCAATTAAATGAGACGAGGAGTGTCCCGGACGTGCTAGAATATTTGCCAGTGCAGAATTGTGACCGCCAGCCCCGGGGGGGGGGGGGGGGGGGGGGTCTTTAACCTGCATCACGCAGTAGTGATTGCACGAACACACTGTTTTACGAGACTCTTCCAGTTCGAAACGGCCAGGGGCGAGCAGGAGGTTGAGGCTCAGAAAAACCGTGAAGCGACCTGGCAAACTAGCTCGCCACCCCTTGCACGCTGGTAGTAATCCGATCCGGTGAAGTTTATAATTGTCCTGGAGGTTTATTTTCTGGGACGGAGGAATCGCCTCGCAAAAAGCACAAAAGCCGACACAACTCGAGGTCGAGGAGCGTTCTACCATACAAGTGGCGTCGGAAGAGGAAAAACGGGGGGAAAGAGGGTAGGGGGGGGGGGGGGGCTTCATTCTCCTTCTCCCCCTTGCAGGTATTTCGGACTGTTAAAGGGGCACTGACACCCCAAAGGTCGTATTTATTTTTATTGTCTAAAACGATGCAAGTTGCAGCCATAGACACTAAAAAAAAACCGCATCGCGAAAAAAAATTTTCCCGCGCGCACGCGCGCCTTTTTATTTTTGGCGTTTGATTTTCCCGCCTCTCGCCTCCTCGCTTCTTTTGATCGGTGACGTCAAAAATCAGGAAATTTAGAAGCTTTGTAGGCGGCATCTTTATAACATTTATTGACGGCAATCCTAAAACATGTTTTTTAACGCAATTGCGAACGCACTACGGCCCTTCTTTTTGAAATACCAAAAATCGGGAGTTCGTTGTGGTGCCGTCTCCTGGATTTGTATCCTCCAACGGAAAACAGGCGACACCGCTCAAAACCGGTCCGCCGCAACGCCGGCGCTAGCCGGCGCTCGCTCCTTTCCTCCTCGCTTTGGGTCGCCATGGCAACAGCAGGGAGTGGTGACAGGAAAGGGGACTCTCAGGTCTCCGCAATTTTTGACGTCAAGGCACCGGCGCCGATCGCGCGGGAACTTCGAATTCGGCATTTGGAAATTGTTTTTTTACTTCACGAATACTGAATTCCCAAATTTCAAATTTTGAGGGTAATGTCCCGGCATCGTTTTCGACCGTTTCGGATAATAATAAAAAATATGATTTTGATGTGTCAGTGCCCCTTTAAAGAAAACAATACGGGGCAAGAGGGCGTGGTCGAGCTTATTTTAATCTGAAATTATTTATGCATATGTATAGCTAATGTCGCTCTTCACTGCATAAAAGATCGCGGAAATGGTCATTGTTAGAAACTCGTTGTCAGAAGGCACTGCTCGTCACATGCTTAGTGGTTCGGAAGTACAAAGCTATGTCTTTTCGACCTAAACACCTGTGCCGATAGTAACAAAAGAAAAAAAAAAGAATAAATGCAGGAATAAAAAGCAGGAGAACAAAAAAAAACTATCAAGAATTCGTCGGAAGTGTTCTATTCTTGCATATTCAGAGGTTCA